TTTGACGGATGGGTCGATCCCGAGCAACGAGGTCATAGGGAAGGCGATAATGACACTGCTCTCGGCGATGGCTGAGGTAGAAGCAGCAGCAAAACAACGTTTCACCCAAAATGTGGTGAAGGTGGTCTTTGTGTTGTCACCAGGGTACGCTGCATTGCCAGAACCCCTTCAGTTTGTATACACAATGGTCACAACGATAGCAGAGGGGAGGTTCAACGTGATAATTCCGGCCCCGAACAGAGTAGTAGACCCTGACAATTACTACCCGTCCCGATCTGAGCTCACCGCCGTTTGGGCTGACATTTCCAATGCCATACAGGGGCTCAGAGATTGTAGCACAACTCGGTTGGTGCTAGATGAGGTTCTGGGGTTGGAGCTGTCCAACTTTGCCAGATTGCTGAAGTTAAGACCAGGGGTAGATGACGATCATCTGTTAGTACAACAGGTGGCTGATGATCTCTGGTTCAGACAGATGGATCATGCCGAGAATGAGCAGGGCAGGAGTCAGGAAGAACATGACATCAGCGGAAGAAGATCTCATGGCAATGGCTTTGCGCACGAAGCCGCACAACAACATATGGTTGTACTTGTCACCAAGGCTGTGCACCTTGGGTGAGGACGCGTTCGAGCATGCGCCGGCAGTGATTAAAGAGATACACGTGTATCTGAAAAACTTGTTTGATGCCCGGGAGTTAGCTGGGGGCATGATGTTGAAGCTGATGCAGGACGTAAACACGATGTCACTCGACAAGTTCCAAGCTGACGTGCTAGCCACGAGGGCACAGTACGAACGATCGGATGCTATCTTGGGTGGAATGGGAGTGGGATGGACGCCATCCTTCCTGTCGACGTGCTATCCTAGGGCATCCCGGAACTTGATCGCGAGTTTTGTCAGAGACATCAGGAAATTATCGATTGGCCTGGTATTAGCCTTATACGTGACATTTGGTCACGAAAATTTCGTGAAGGGGCCGGCGAATCTCTTCACCCAAGCGTTGGCAGATTTGAGATTGGATGGACTCCTGACCCTGATTGCCATGACCTACGGTCGACTGGGTGATTTGCTTGTGCTGTTACGTTACCCTGAACAACTACAGGGACCCAGTCGTGAGTTCAATGCACAGTTGGAAACCGCCTCGCTCAGGAAGATGAAAGACTGGAGGACTCTCCTGCTCCAATATCTCTTACAACAGAACAGAAGCGTCACGGGAGAAGACAAGGTGGCGACGGATGCGAGTGAGTGCAAGCAATATTGTGGCATGCCCTTGCTGACAGATTTGCTGTCATGATGCGGATCGATCCGTTGGCTCTGATTCACGGATTGCGGGAATTCGTCACGGTGGTGTATGGACCGGTGATGTCTTTCGTGTTCCTGGACGTGCAAGTCAAGGCATACAGGAATTCGGTGTTGTACGTCAACCTGGTCTCAGTCGTGGACTGTTTCGTGCTGAACTGGGTAGAACAGAGGGAGTTGAGAGGGCTGGCCAGTGACGATAGGCTGTTCGGAAGAATAGCGGTGCCAGGTTGGATGTTGATGGATTTCAACAACCACTTCAAGTGCCGAATGGGCCGTGAGGAATTTTCTCACATCCAGTTCAACCCGAACTTAAGACCAGTAGTGAAGGATACGGGAGCGGCTATGGGAGTGCCACTCTTACCAGAGGCCTATGCACACGCTAAGGAGAACCAGCAAGCGTGGCTTTCTGGGTCCAGGCCGCTGCCGGACCAATGCCCTCGATAACCACCAATAAGGAGGATGTTGTTGGGAGTCACATCTCCCATCGTTGCCCCTCGCATCGGAGCAGCTCGTGATGCAGAGAAGAGAATGTTGAAGTGGAGTGAAGGGATGGAGCCGCGCTTCATCGGCTGGAATGTTGCAGCCGCGCACACGTTTGACTTCTCATTTCCTGATGCTTGGAGTAGGAAAAAGATCAAGGCACTACCTTCCAGGAGACCAGAGGTCTCGGCCGAAATGTGGAACGAAGTGTATTCTCCCACAGATGACTTATCAAGACTGAAGTGGTCAGGAGAAGTGAAAGTAGTGATGATGGAAGTGGCAAAGGAGAGCAGAGGAGGCTCATATATAACAATAGAGGACCTGGCACCACATGGCGAGGAGTACGTAGAATTCCTGGTGAATGATGAGTTGTTTTATCATGAAGGAGACATGACCGTACCGGCTCGGCCGGACTCGGGCATAGACTCACGACAAAGACCTTCAGAACCCAGGCCGAAACCTGATGCAGGTGATGATGATTTGATGGATGCGAGGACACAGCAGGTGTTGATTGATCAACTTTTCTCGGTGCCAAAGTGCGTGAGGTTGGCCAGAATGTCGGAGAGGTCACATGATTTGTTGGCAAAGATCTTTCGGGCAGTCCCTAAGAGATCTGAAGGCGAGTTGCAAGACGTAGTGGGCGAAGAGTTTCTGAGATTAAACGAAGGCAATGTGAGTGAATTCCAGAAACAGAAAGCGAGTGGAGCGTTACCCACTGAATTCCTCACCATAGAAGAGAAAGACGACTTACACAGAATTCTGATGGAGGTGGAACCGTTGCTGGGAGCCTCAGGGTATCGGACCCGAACGAACATAGTGGGAACCCATGGGGAGTATCCTTGCCACTGCTTGGCGCAGACGTTGTGGTACCCCAAACGCGGGAATCTGATGCTAGTATGGGACGTGGAGGAGTTGTACTCTACGGGGTTGCCTGATCAGAATCAACAGGTGTCAATCGTGGTGGTTAGTGCCATGCTGGCAGTGAGATGGCTGGAGGCTAACGCGGACACAAGTGAGCAGGAGACGGCCGTGCCGACTCCTGAGCAGCTGAGCAACGTGAAGATGAGTCGTGAATTGGATCTTTTTAGAACCACCTGCAAGGTTCTGAGGATACCTAAAGCCATTGAAAGAATATGGTCAAGGCAAAGATTGATGCCTTGGTTCCGTGCAGTGATGACATCATGGATGTATGAACGCGCCAAGCGTCACATGTCGAGGAACACGGAAGCTTATCAATCTTTCCAGCTAGATATAGGACCAGGAGCCTATAAGAGAGCATTCTTGACGCACAGAAACGCGGTCACCACGGCGGTGAAGCGAGTAGCTGGAGCGCCTTGTGTAACTGAGGATGAGAAGAAAGAGGTCTTAAGAGCTGACCTAGAACGAAACGTGAGCCTATGTCTTCAAAACAGCTTTTGCAGGAACCGGGAGCAAAAGGTTAATGTTGACTTGCTACCTTGTTGCAAACCGAGGCTGTTGGAACAGGAGAGTTGGGGCACGGCCCGCAGCTCCATGGACATGCTGGAGAAAGTGTTGGAAGACAGCGAAGATCAAGATGGAGAAGTGATGGAATGAAGATGAACAAAGAAGAGAAGAGAAGGAGAAAAAACTTGATTATCTTTGTGTGCTAAAACTTAAACCAATCAACCAAGTTTTGATTATTGAACTTGTGAAACTTTTTGTTTTGATTTAGTTTGGTCAAACCAAACTTTGAAAATTGTTACAATTGTTGAATTGTTGAAAAAGGAATTTTAGCTAGGACTATTTATGTATGTATATATAGAACATAGGTGAGTATATTTACCTATTTAAACACGATTGCAGTTTTTAACCTGTGTAAGACACAATTTCACTTTGTGGCGACATGGTAAGTTTGAGTAAACTCGCTCGAGAAGGGTGGGTAACTCAATAATTTTCCTAGCCACAGAGTTTCTTAGTTTTAATATTGAAAGGACCGCATAAATAACTGATTATACTTGGTGAGTGACGTTAAGTTAATTTTAACGGGTGCGTGGCCGTGCCACGTCCCAACTTTTTAATCACAAAGAGCGAAAAGAAATTTTATGGCAAGACGACGTAAGTAGTCAGAAAAGAAATTTTGTCTAGGACACTCCTCATGGTGCAAATTTTGTGAAAATGTTGAAAGGCAGTGAGATGTAGTACGATGCCATTTGTGAACACGTAGTGAGTTGAAGTGGAGTAGATAAATTTCATTTTTTTATGCGATTTGTAAGATTGATTACAGAAAACTGGATAACTACTTGACGATAACCCGGTGTTGTGCGATCAATGGGGACATTGATGGGGACTGTCCGGGGAGTATGTGCCATTCTGCCAGATGACACAGCGCAACCTTCCGGGGACATGAAAAAGAACGAATAAAGGCCTTATTAACGAAAAAGTATTGCAAAGGAGGGTCAGAATATTCTGGAATTTTTATTTTTAAAATTTCGATTTTCAAGTTGACATTTCTGAGAAATACAAAAAGACGGCCATTTTGACCAAAAAAGCTGAGAAAATCAGAACAACGACAAATATTGTGAAAATTAGTCGTACAAGAGACGGAAAATACGAAGCCTCTTATCGTGGCAACAACGCACGATAAGACACTTGTCAGCGGATACTAGTGGAGAAGGAAGCTTCAGTGGGGAAGGAGTATTCCACGGAACCCTCCCGGGACGCAAATTAGAAGAGATAAGAGCGTTATCGCAGGAATATCACGGGAGCGGAGGCTTGGTCCCCCAGAGACTGTTTTATGTGAAGGGACTGTAAAAAAACTGACTGTATAGCTACTTGGATGTCGTGAAACTTTAAATTAACACCGGTGTAACTTGATATTTTAGAATATGAGTAGCTAGAAAGAGGAAAGGGTCAATCCATCTCCAATGGATTTAATATAGAACTGTCACACAAAAACATATTAAAATAGGTTGTTTGAGCCGTGTTTTTAATGACAATCACGTAGTCTGAGGATCCGAGACTCAGCTATGTGGTTGTGTTCACATGTAAACGAAAGCTGATCAAAAGTCGTTTGACTGATGGCCTAAAAATGGTAACTTTTTACTTTGCCCTAGACAGACCAGAAAATCAACTGGCAAGGTCGAGAGGGTGAAAAGCGATTAGGATTAAGGTAACTGACGCCTGCCAGTCGTTAATAGGTACTTTTTCTGCGCTCCGTCGCTGTGTAGTATTTGGGCGAATGTTACATTGCTGTTTCAGTTAAATGGACTGATGTTCACATGATAATTTGAAGGTGAAAAATAAAAGATGGATGCTGTTCTACGATGTAGACGTCGAGAGATATCTTTAACTTTATCGCGTAGGTTTTCTCGGTTCAACCTTCGAGCAAATAGCGGGAAAAATCTTGTTCGACTAATTGAAAAGCAAAATGCTTCTTTGGTTATTGTTCAAAGGAGAAAGATTTCTGCGTGGGAACGAGGCAAAGCTGTGTGGAAACCTTCAGTGGCATGTTTTGTGACTGGTTTAGCTGGTATATACGAGTTAAAATTGGTTAATGAAATTGTGTAATGAAAAATTTGCGTCGTCGGAATATCCTGTGATTCTTGGAAGCCTCTATCTGTTTTTTTAGGTCTCGTTGGTTACTATTTCTACCTGGTAAAGCAAAAAGAGTGGGAAAAGCAAGAGAAAGAGAAAATAAAAGAAGCGAAAAAAGTGGAACTGGATGAAAAATATAAGCCAAGAATGGGTTTCTTTCAGGCTATCGATACAGAAGGTAATTAATATCTAATGACAGATTATCACACTTGCGAGTGATAATGTATTAGTACGAAACTGCGTGTTTTTCTGAGCTAACTCGCAAATAAAAGTGTTCATTGAAAGTATTCTTTTAAGGGAATTTTCATTGTAGCATCTGTCCTCTGCTTTATTTGTGGCTAGTGTTTGTGGTGTATTAAGCGTCCGTGGCCGAGGGGTTTGCGTGTGAGGATCATTATCTCTAAGTTGGAGGTTCGAACCCGAAACTTAGCCGATTGCTTACTAATTCGAGGCTTATTTCTACGTTTTTACTGCTGTTTATAGAGCTATTTTTGTTGTGCTCTCGCTAGTGTTTGCGAAGCGCATCTGTGTAAAGTTTTCCTGCGATCTGATTGCTGCATTTTGAAAACATGCAATAGGGTAATAGACCTTTTTCATTGAAGTAAGTATGTGCACATGACTAACATCCTGGATCCTGGTCTCATTATCTACTGGGCTTTTCTGTTGCAACATACATATTTTGAGCATTACAGAGTTTTAATTATATGGCCTTATTAAAGCTTGTGTTAGAGTATGAACTATAATTTTTTTCCAGCCCAAGTCGCAAATATTGTTGCGACGCAAATATTGTTGCGACAAAATGTGTTCATTTTGATCAATAACTTCTAATGCGTCATAATTGGCTTGCGTCACCTAGCAATTATGTAGACTCATAATTGGTGTGCGTCACTTAAGAAATTTTGTAGACTCAAAGTTTTACTCATTAAGTTTTTCCCAGTAGCGTTATCGGTCATTTTTTTTTGCTTGTGTATGCGAAGTGAAACTTTGCCTGTGTGTAAGTATTATTTACAATTGCGAAGCAAAGTGTATTTGTACGAACTTTTTTCCAACGTAAGTCGCGAATAAAAGTGCTACTGTCGGTGGCATTTTTGAATCGGTAGGCTGCGGTAGCAGTATAATATCATACATGCTTTGACATTTGATCAGTAAAAAGTTATTTGTTTAAACAGCAGTACAATGATAAAAAGCTCGTTTTCAAAAATTTTCCAACTCAATGTATCTTGCAATTTTTGTTGATAAGCAAATTCATACATATTTTGGCTTTATGCTTTCCAATTACTTACATGCAATTTTGTGTCTTTTTTGTATTTGGTGCGAAATTTGCTGCATCGAATCGGCAATTAATTAGCAATTGTAGCTGCGATATTGGTGGCTAGTTTTGGGTGATTTAAGCGTCACTTAGCAATTATGTAGACGCATAATTAGCGTGCGTCACTTAAATTTTGTAGACTCAAAGTTATACTCATTCAGTTTTTCCCAGTAGCGTTATCGGTCATTTTTTTGCTTGTGTATGCGAAGTGAAATTTTGCCTGTGTGTAAGTATTATTTACAATTGCGAAGCAAAGTGTATTTGTACGAACTTTTTTCCAACGTAAGTCGCGAATAAAAGTACTACTGTCGGTGGCATTTTTGAATCGGTAGGCTGCGGTAGCAGTATAATATCATACATGCTTTGACATTTGATTAGTAAAAAGTTATTTGTTTAAACAGCAGTACAATGATAAAAAGCTCGTTTTCAAAAATTTTCCAACTCAATGTATCTTGCAATTTTTGTTGATAAGCAAATTCATACATATTTTGGCTTTATGCTTTCCAATTACTTACATGCAATTTTGTGTCTTTTTTGTATTTGGTGCGAATTTTGCTGCATCGAATCGGCAATTAATTAGCAATTGTAGCTGCGATATTGGTGGCTAGTTTTGGGTGATTTAAGCGTCACTTAGCAATTATGTAGACGCATAATTAGCGTGCGTCACTTAAATTTTGTAGACTCAAAGTTATACTCATTCAGTTTTTCCCAGTAGCGTTATTGGTCATATTTTTGCTTGTGTATGCGAAGTACAACTTCGCTTGTTTTGAATTTTGCTTTTTGTTTGTTTAAAACTCGGATTGTTAAAATGTCAATTAAAACAAATTTAACAGTTTTCCGGCTTAATAAGTTTCGACTTATTTTAGGTCGGCTTAGTTCTCTGTTATTGCGTCGTTTGTTGTTTGCGTGTGTTCATGTGTTTGTGGGAGAGGAAGGGGGGACTTGAAAAATTTTTAAGAGTCGAACGTGAACGTAAATCAGACTCTTATGAAGGCCGAGGTTTTTTTTTCGCTTTTTTGCTTCAGGATATGTCTTCAAATTTGTTCAGGCTCAAATTCATTTTTTTTGCGGTTTGACTTTGGCTTTCTTTTTTAGTTCAGTTCAGTTAAAAAGGAAGGCATACTCCACTATCGACCAACAAAATAGTAAAGGTCACGAAAAACGTAATTGCCTTCTATTTTCGAAAGTGGATTTTAGTATACAGATTTCTCAGCGAAAAAAATTTTACCTATTGATCCAGTTTTCTCAAATTGGGTCGATTTTATTGAAAAAGTTCAATCATAAATTGTTCTAGAAATTCAAATAGCTGAAGGGCATTCTATTTTTTTCTTTGAAATTCGAAAGTTGATGTTTTTAAAAAAAACAAGTCAGGGTTTTTTTAAATTGCTTTCATTGACTCTTTCTCAACTGTATGTTGGCCTGAGCTGAAACTCTTTTTGCGAAGAATTTCTGCTCTGGTATTTTTAGCTTTACCGCTCTGTAAGTTTTGTTCCGATGCTAACTTAGCATTCTATTGTCTGAGCATTTTTTACACAGCTGTTTTCATTCATTGTGGTAGATCTGGATGTATTGCAAGTGGTGTGATGCTCAGCTTCGTCTTTGTAACTAAATAAGCAACCCTCATGCTAGAATACATTTTCGATTTTCCTCAGTATATGTCAAACATTACTGTCTTTTTTTATTTTCTGAGTAGAGTTAACAGGAACCAAACCAAGAATAATTTAAAACACAAATTCCATTCAACTACCCCAAGCTGCCACCCGGAAGTTATTTCACTCTGCCCAATTCAAGCTACCCAAACCCATATCCATTCAACTACCCAATCCAAGCTGCCATCCGGAAGTTATTTTACACACCCTTGTATTTGATTTTTTTTTGTCTTTTTCAATGTTAGCATCATTCGAAATGTTACTTTATTTTTATCTAGTAGCATGCCGCATTGTTTTCACTTGCGAGCATATTGTAGTAGGACAAACTTTTTGCACTTGTGAGCTTAGTCTAATAGTACGACTATTCTTTTTGTAATCTAAGTCGGAAATATTGTTGCCACATTTGGTGGCACTTTTATGGCTTTTTCATTGAATGTGCGTTGACTGTCGATTAGTAAAAAGTTAAATCGCAAATAAAAGAGCTCATTAAAAGTGTTCACTTGGTAACATTTTTGCTATAATTACGATCTTTAGCGTTGGAAGTTTCATAGCATCATCTGTTCTCTGCTTTATCTGTGGCCAGTGTTAGCCATTTGTTTACCTTCCGTGGCTGAGTAGTTAGTGCGCGAGACTCATATTCTCTAGGTCGCAAATGGAACCCGATACATAGCTTTTTTTCACTGATTCGAGGCTTCTTTTCTTGAACTTTTTAGAGCTGCTTTTTGTATTGTTCTCCTTAGTCTTTGCGTAGCACAGCTTTGCCTTTGTTTATATTGGATTAAGTGCTTTCAAGACTTGCTTTTTGGAACGATAAATGTTTTACGCAACAGACTGATATTTAAGGATGCCTTATTTGATTACGGTTGCGATTAGCAAGCGTTATCAAATAGGAATATAGACCAAGTGATTCTGTTAAACAAGTTAAGAACTTGTTTAACAGAATCACTTGGTCTCTTGGTTCATAATGAATTCAAATTTATAAGCGTCTCTGGCGCACCTAGTCTGGGGGTAACGAATACGCCTGGGACGGCAAAAATCCTTGGTTCGAATCTGACCACGACCTGTTGTTTCTAAAACGGGAACCATTCCGTTTCAAAAAAATTTTAAGACCTATTATTTATCTGCTTATGTTTTGTCGGCGTAGTTGCCACATCTCTGGATTGTTTTGAGGGTTGGAGTTTTCATTGTAGTTGCTTTTTATGTTGTCATTTACTCATGCAGTTTGTAATTCTACTTGCCTTGACTTCGTATATTTTCCTTTTTTGATTTTTTGCCTAAAAGCTTTTCAGACTAATTAATTTTGGCTGATATTTCATCCGTTTACTTCAAAGTTTGGGTTGTTTCAGGGAAACATGATATGTTTTTTTTTCGTATAGTTTTATTAGTTGTGGTTTCTTCGAAAGTTGATTTGTTGCTCTTCGGCTTAGTTTTGTTCGGGCTGGCGTCTTAAGTCTGGTTTTATGGTTCGTGAAATGATCAAGTTTATGGCCCATTGAGCGGTTTGAAAAAACGTTTTTTTTTTTTAAATCCAAAAGTGTCCTGATGAAGAATATCTATTCTTTGATTTCAATCTGAGATTTTGTTTGTCTACAAAGGCATTTGGCGAGTTTGAGTTTGAGCGTTGCAAGAGCTATCAAAACGTAAAATAGATTTTCTGGTAGGCAACTGGTCTTATGTTGTAGAATTGGCGAATTCTTTATCTTCGATCGACAAAAAAAGCGATTTTAAAGATTGATAGCCGGTCTTAAGCAATTAACACAGAAGTTCGATCACGGTAAAAACATGGAAATTTTTAAAATTGCCTTGTTTTTTTCTTAAGCGTGATGAGAACCTGAACCCAATCCTTAATTTTTGACAGTAATTGTATTATAGGTTTATTTGATTTTCTATCATTATAAAATGAATAATATATTAAAAAGTTTCATGTTTTTTTTTCAAAATGTTTGAAAGTTTCGATTTTTATCATTCCAAAGAGGGCGCTAACAGAAGTTTTGAAAACTAAATTTACTTCAGAAAAACTATAATTTCACGAATTAACTGGATTTATTAGCTTGCTTTTAGATGCCTATAATAAGCTTGCTTGCCGTCTTTAATCGCTCGAACGTGAAAAAAGTTCAAAATTTTTAATTGTTTTTGTCAACCCAGAGAAGTTCTCAAAAATTTTCTAGAAGGTTTCGAATCACGACTGGAAGGGCTTCAATGTGGTATATCACTCGACCCCTTCTTAAACTCTGGAAAGAAAGCTTAAATACAACAGGAAAAGCTGTTTCTCTGCAAGTAGCTCAGAATATTTCGACCTCATTCATTACCCTTGCGATAAGCAAGGGTATTGCAATCGGGTACTAGACTTTTTTCCCGTAAACAACTTCGTCCACAGGAGTCACCTCTGGGCTACTTCACATCTGCGTCCACTTACTCCTCAAATCCTCCTCTCCTACTCTCGGTTGCAAATATTAAGCATAGTTGAGCATGTTATTTGGAATATCCGTCCTTTTCAAAATTTGGTTTTTATGTTGCTCGTGGTTTTTCCAACTCGATTTGTTACATTTTTGTTTAATGTTTTTTTTTGTCCTTTTTACGGCTCAATATGCTTCAGTCTACTTTATATCGGCTTACTGGCCTAATTTTTAGTAGTTTTTTCAGGAAAACATAATTTTTATGCTCACCTCTGGATCGCACAATATGCTAAAAATCTTAATAGATTTTATAGTTCAAGTTTTTCATGATAATTTGTGTTTGGCTTTTTTCGGCGTAAGAAGGTTCGGCCTATGTTTTATCGGTTGAATGGCCGCATATTGCGCCTTTCGATGGGCGAAATAAATTGTGTGTGCATGTCTGTGTTTTGAGGGCGAGGGGGTCTTTGAGGGGACGAGCTGTGTATGTGTTCTGAGGGTGAAGGGGACTTAATGTTATTTTATTACTCTGAAAATTGTTTATTTTTGGCTTTGTTTTTTTTGTTTTCCTTTTTTGATCAGCTGAATAGGTTTCGGCCAATATTATATCGACATAGTGGCAGCATATTGTTTCATTTGATGCTTGAATGAATTTTGTGTTTGTGTGTGTGTGTGTGTGTATGTGTGTGTGTGTGTGTGTGTGGGTGTGGGTCTTTGTTTGATGGTGTGGGGCCTTGATAGTTTTTTTAAAAAATTTTCGCCCTACTGGGTGTCTACTAAAGTATTTCCGGCTGTGTTAACGCTTAATATTTTCTGTTTAGATGCTATTTTCACATTTTTTTTGTCTTGGCTCGTTTTTGTTTGAAAACTAGCCTTATCGATAGATCTAGATTTTCGATATTTTCGATTTTTTTACCTAGCGGCTTTCTTGTTTTGTATCGCAAGTGGTTCGAAGCTCAGCTTCGCCTGTGTAGAAAGTTATAAAAGAGTAGCGTTTTAAAAAAGGAATGTCAAAAAATTCTATTTTTTTTGCCCTTTTCCAAACGATTTTATACGGCCAAGCACAAGGAAGTGCTACATGAAGCTTTCAGAACTAATTTTCTGTGTAATAGAATCTGCTTTTAGCCTGAATGAGGCCTGAATTCATATAACGAATGCTACTCTACTACGTGCGTGAATTTAGACAAAAGCAGGTTTTACTCGGCTCTGGGAAACGTTTTTGAAAATAATATTCGAACCAAGACTGAAAAATCATTCGACCCATTGCCATGATTACTTTTAGTATCTGAAAATAAAAAGAGATTGTTACTGAAACGCACCCGAATAGAAAGTTTCTGGCGATTTTCAATGTTTGGGAAAACAATATCGAAAACAATATCAAGTTTTAATATTGCATTGAAAGAACCATTCGTTCAAAAACAGCCCTCAATTATACTCTTGCATTTCTGAACACAGTTGTCCTCTGTAACCTACACTACCTTGCCATATTACTAAACGGAGTATCGATTCCACTCAAAAATTAACAAAGCTGAGGAATTAAAACCTGCTGTGACTGTGCAAAACGACTCATTGTCGGTTTGTCGATTGTAAATGAATAATTTGGAAAAATAAAAACAAATTTTAGTAACGTATGAGAAAAGAAAATACGAAAATCACCGCATTGATGCAAAAACATGAAAATTATGTAATATGTGCGAAGAAATAATGAGCAATACATAGATCCTTATTTGTTTGGAGTAAGATTCAAGAGTCAAGTTTTTAAATGATGGTCAAATCTGGTGCATAATTGAATGCGGGCTTCACTATCTCACCATGCTTAAGCTTTTTCAACATATTGTTCTTGCATGTGTGACGAAAGAATTTTTTAATGTTTAAGCTATATCGATATTGCAATGATTAAGAATTTTTTTTCCAATTTTCCTGTTCGAATTCAGTGTTTATTTCACCAAGTTTAAAATAAGCAGCCCAATAGTGGGATGCTGTCAGGGGTTTGCCATTTCCCCTCCAATTATGAATGCCCAGATCTTTTTAGTGTACGAGCTACGAATTTTGTGATTTTTTCAAAAATCTTCGGAAAATTCAAATTGAGTGTTCTCAGAATACTCTCAAGGATTGCGAATTTTGCCTCGAAATATGACTGCTCAAATCTGTGTAGTTTTCCAGATGTAACATGTTTTATGAAATCTTTTTTAATTTTTCAGAAAACTGAGATTTCAAAAAGTTCAAAAGAATTGAAATTCCCAACCTTATAGTTGGGTATTGTGAGAAGTACTCTCAGGAGTTTAAATTGCAAATCTTGCGGCCAACTGCGACTGCTTAATTGCTCTTGGTTTCCGAGATAAGACGTTTGTTATGTCTTTTTTTAAAATTGTTTTAAACTTAGATATAAAAAATTTCAAACACCCATCTCTATAGTGAGGCTCTCTATCAGGGTACGCTACCAGAATTTTCGAATTTTGCCTCCAAGTTTGACTGCTCACATCGTCATACTTTTCGAAATTCGACGTTTTTTGTGATTTTTCAAAAAAATTTCAGAAAACTTAAATTATAACTTTTTTCAAAATTTGAAATTCCCAACGCTGTAGTTTCGTACTGTAAGAGTACTCTCAGGAGTCGCAAAACTTGATCTCACTTTGCTTTTCTGCTTATTTTCTACAAATTGATGTGAACATTGGATTATCTTAGAATTAATGTAAACACTTTATATTAATGTAAAAACAAGACTGCTCGTATCAAGAGCAATTTACAAAAAAAGTAAATGTAATAAAATAAAATGAAAGAAAAATTCTAAAAATTGAATTTTTTTAAATTAAATCATTCCCCCTCACCATATAAAGTATAAAAGAATAGATTTGGAACGATTTCTAAAACAGAATAAATCTCCGCTCACGCGTTAGTAGCGCGAAATATATCGCACGTTAATTGTCCCAAACCCCCATAATTTTGCGAAAAACTATCACAGGTGAACTATCTTTTCAAATTCAAGCTCAGGACAACAATACCTTTTGAATGATATAAAAAAATCCCCTCAAAAATGCATAGTTAAAAAGTCGAAATTTGTCTGAAGAAAAAACCCACCCCAAGCACAAATATTCCGTTAATTTCGTATCAAAAGTCGGAACAATAACCAATTTGTGCAATTAAATGCCTTTTAGAGTTGAATTTTTGATTTTAAGAAGGAACTGGAAGCGTTAAGAGAGGATAAGTTCAACTACACAGTTTTATTTTAGCGATAATTTGTTAACATTTAGCCACTCCTTTACCGCGTTGAATTAGTTTTTGAAAATTTCAGTGGAACAATTCGATCTTTTTATTTTTGTAGCATTTGCAAACAAATGCTTCTTTCAAGCAGCATTTAATAGCCTGCGCTTAGATCCGCTTCATCGAAGCAGTTCATTGTCTGGTAGTATTTGTGGTACGGTAAGGCTAGATGGAGCACTGGTCGGGGAAAGTAACCCAAGATCAGGTTGGATCCCACATTAAGACTATCGGTTTTTAAAAGCGCTCCAGACAATTGTTTGTTCTCAAAATCTAAGATCTTTGGCATATTTTTGCTTTTTTCGAGAAGTGCAGCTTAGGGCATGGCTTTAGAAATCTATGAGCCTTCCATTCCTAATTTCACATAGTCTCGCTGGAGAATTTATGGCGCTTTTGTCGAAAGCTGGATTAGTTTTATTTCAAATTTAAACGGTTTTCACTTTTGCATGGAGTGTTATGGTCTTGTTTTGTTTTAGGTAGAACTGTAACAGACAGACAATTACGTAATAAGTGGCTTCTCGTCTATTTTGGCTTCACAAACTGTCCAGACATATGCCCAGAAGTGCTGGAGAATCTATCAGACACTGTGGATAACTGCAGCTCAGTGGTCAAACTGCAACCTGTCTTTATTACTGTAGATGCCTATAGGGATACACCTGAGAAAATTGACAAGTATTTGAAGGTTGGTGTGCAACATCTAATTATGCTAAAACACGGTATCCTGTTTTTCTTTCTTGCGGTTAACGCAAATGTCTATAATTTGATGTCATAGTTTGCATGAATTGCTTTCAAACACCTTGATTAAATAGGCGGTACCTTTTTAGATCAATTGGCTTTTTTTTTCAATTGGCAAGGGTAGCCGGCGTGTTTTTGAGTCCGGTTTTTTTCGATAGCAGGTGTTTTGTTTTAGCAATTTTTGACTACAATGAGCTTTCTGACTTCTATCGAAAACATGTTTTTCATGCATCCTTCAAATAATCTACATGGCAAGTTAATCGATCTCGCATAAAAATAGCATCCCATGTGGAATTGCAGTTTGCGCTACAAATGGCACTTCAATGAAAGTTTCGAAAGTGAATTATATTTTTAGTATTCAGAGTGGTCTAAAAATTTTCTTTTGATCTAGTTTTTCAAGTTATACCAGTTTTAACACCAAAAATTGTGAAATAAAATTTTTTATTGAACTTGAAAGAGCTATTGTAGTTAACTCTAATGCAGCTCGAAAAATAAACGGAAAATGATTTGCCTGAAGGAAGGTGCATTACGATCTACACTTGCGATTAGCAAGCTTTTAAACTCGGAATATAGACTCTTCTCGGAAGAACAACTTGTTAAAGTGAATCACTTGAATCTGTTGGTATCTTGGTTCATTACGCTAGCGGACTTTAGTGGGCGTTAGTGTAAAAATACGACTATTTTTTTTCTAATCTAAGTAGCAAATATTGGTGCCAATTTTGATATCTTGTGCTTTGACATTCGAATAGTAATAAATTACCACAGTTGATGCATTTTTGATTCATCTAATGAACAAAAAACAGCTATTTACTTCAAACAACAAGAATAAAAACTCGATTTCAGAAATTTTCTAAATCAATATATCTAGCAATTTTTTCAAATGCATAATTATTAGTTAATAATGTGGATTTATGATTACCATTTCATTACATGCAAAATTAGTGTGGATGCCTTCAGTTTATTATATTCCAAATTATTTTTCTTGCAAAATTGTGTATATTTGTATTTCATGCCACTTTTTGCACTTAGCAATTTAGCATAAGTAGCTGCTTTATTTTTGATTAGTGTTTGCTGGTTGTTAAGCGTTCGTGGCCGAGAGGGCAGGGCGTGAGGCTCCAATTCTCGAGGTCGCAGGTTCGAAGACAATACGTAGCAAAGTTTTCCTAATTTGTGGCTTATTTCTATTTTTTTTCTCATTTTGCAAAGCTGCTTTTTTGTCGTGTTCTTGCTAGTGTTTGCGAAGCGCAGCTTGGCCTCTGTGTGATAAATTGAAATTTTCTAGCATATCCGGAACACTTAATCGGAAGTAACGAGTACGTCTGTGGTGGCACATGTCCTCTGTTCGAATTTGACCAGGAGCTGTTATTTTCATAAATTGAAAATATTGCGGTTCCAAAAAAACCGGTTCAAATTGTTGACCTTTTTAATGTCTGCTTATGTTTTGTCAGATTAGGTGACGCATCTTAGAAATTGTTTTTTTTTCTGCTGTGCTCAATCGTCCTGGTATTTGCTTTTAATGTTTTTATTTACTTCTCCAGTTTGTAATTTAGTACTAGCCTCGACAAAATTCGTACTAGACTTGACTTCGTACATTTTTGCTTGAAATTTTTATTCGGCCTACATATTTTTGGTTAATATTTTTCTTGTGTAGTGACTCAGTTTTGGTTAGTTGAAAGGGAAACGTAATTTTATGGTCTCATCGGATCGCATAAAATGCTAAAAATCATTGTGTACTATTTTAAGTTTTTTCATGACCAATTTTGTTTTCAATTCTACGGGAAACTACCCAAGGTTTGTCGGGTCTGTTGCTGATCGATATTTGTTTTGGAATTTTGATACAACTTCGTCGATTGTGTATCTGAACTCCCAAACTGTGTGTCATTCCACAAATCGTTGGAAGTTTTGTTAGTTGTGGTATTGAAATATTTCCTTTTTTTAACCTAGTTGATCTACCCTTTCCTGTCTGCTAGCGTGCAACTTTTATGTGGTATCGCAAGTGATTATGGGTAAATAAAGTAACCAGTGAAAAACGTATTGCAATCGGTTACTAGACATTTTCTCCGTAAATAACTTTGTTCACTGAGCTCATCTCCTGAACTCATTCATATTCTTGGCCTTGCTGTTGCAACATACTTATTTTGAGCATGCCAGCTTTTTAAATATCCCGCCTAATCGAAATCTGCCTTTTATGTTGGTTGAACTTTTACCATCTTGGTATGTTAAAATTTCATTTTTTCCCCGGCTTAATAGGTTTCAGCTTATTTTATATCGACTTAGGGACTCTTATTGCGTCGTTTGATGGCCATGAAAAGTTTCTGTGCGCGTGCGCTTTGGGGAAATGGGAAATTATTTTTTTTTTAAATTGAGAATTTTGAAGCTTTTTATTCGAAGGGTTCCTGCTCGACGTTTTTTTTGTTATTCTTACCGCTTGATAATTACAAGTTCAAATTCAATCAACCATCCGTCGCATCTTGCATAGAGGCTACCCAATTGCTTGAGACGGCAAAGGCTTGCATTTGGAATCCTGCCGAAACCTGTTTTTTCAAACTAGATTTTTTTTGCTTTTTCGGACTGTCGTCCGACTGTTTATTTTTGTCGGCGTTGTTCCCGTGGCCCGACTTTTTCTAGGTTCGATATCAGCGAGACCTGATTTACTGTAATTTGAAAATTTTCGGCTGGTTTTTATTATGATCTGTCTGCTTATTTTTGTCGGCTTAGTTACGCAAAAGGGAATTTTGAAATTTCGGATTTTTTCTAGCATTCTCAAAGCGTCGTATTTTCCGGATAATTTAAGCTTTTGTTGCAAGTTTTCTAATTTTGATTGACAAACCATTTTTTGAAGTTTTTTTCATTCTTAAATTTTTTTATTTCGGTTTTTTGCTAGCATTCTGAAAGCTCCTCGGAAAGCTCTATTATTCTGCAAGCTCCTCGCTTTCTGAAAGCTCTTCGTTTTTCCGGATGTTTTGAGCTTTTATTGCATCTTTCTTAAAATTTTTAATGACAATTATTTTGTGAAGATTTTTTTTCAATTTTTATGTTTTTCTTTTCGTTTGATTTTTTTTTTATCACAGACATTCATTTTTGTATCGCAAGTGGTGCAACATTTGGCAAGTGGTACCATGTACAAGTTTTTCGAAGGTTTTTCAGTTTTTTCTTCATTTGATTTACATCACAGTCGTTCATTTTTGTATCGTGGAGCCAAGGTCAGCTTCGCTTCTGTCTATAAAAAAATAGAAAATCATTTCAGTGAGCTAAAGTTTCAAATCATTCGAAAACTTAACTTTTTTGATTACAAATTTTTGAAGGTTTATTAATTTTTTGGTTCTGATTTTTCACAAATGATAACTTTGTCAATCGAGTTTTTTTCGTAAATAATTATATTTGTAGAGAATTCTGTCTTTTTCTAACGTGTTGTAAGTATATGATATGGTGCAGGTTTTTTTCTTACCCATTTTTTTCTGGCATATATTCGTGTATTACAAGTGCTGTAAAACTTCGTTTCGCCTCTGAGTCAGTATAACGATTTTTAGAGTTTCGTGGTGCTCCGCTTTGCGTCTGCGTATTTTTAAATGGCTGCTGTTATAATAAAAATGAACAATGTTTCTGTTCTCGCTGTGCACGTTTTTAAATTCCCGTGTTTTCATTTTTTTACATATCTATGATCAACTCTCGTTGGTTATCAGAAACCTTGAAATAGTTTCTTCCAATCACAAATTATTCGGACTCGATAAATTGCTGCCTTAATTTTTAATGGGAATATTTGAATTGAAAGATCACATCAGGATATAGGTTGCTTCGAAGACAGTGTTTGACCTTCGCTAGTGCTTAACTTTCTACCAGTTAGTTCCTCATTTTCAAAAATTGTTGGGTTGGTCTGTTTTTGAGGCCTGTGCTAACTTTTTCAAACTTCAGGATTTTCGATCTGACTTCATTGGGTTGACTGGGTCCAGTGAGCAGATGAGCAAGCTGTTTGGAACCTTTGGAGTCTATGCCAGAAGCAATCCAGCAGATGATGACGGAGACTACATTGTAGACCACACCATCATTACCTACCTGGTCTCTCCTGATGGAAGAATCATGGAGATGTTCACAAGGTACCAGGAACTGGATAAAGTGAAAGAATTGATTTTGAATCATTTTAATAACTACAAACCAGACAGCGATGATAAACCTTATAGCGCTAAATTTAGATAATACTTAATGTTTTTATCACAAATGTTTCAATTCAGATTCTTGAAGTTTCCTAGTTTTCTATGTTATTTCGAAGTAACCATGCTGGTGTGAATATCATTACAATGAAGTGATTAAAATAAGTAATTCATTCTACTCTAGAGCATTGCTCAGCTACAAATGCAACCTAAGAATTGGGCTTAAACGCCATGTAAAATATCCGCAATAGCTATTTCAATTGGTTCTGTTAGTTTTGCCTTGATTAGTCATGTTCGCATTTATACTAATCATGTCCCATCTTACATATCAATCTGAGTCTAAATCCTGTAGCTCCTGCAATCTAACGACTAATTTCAGGTTAAAATGACCCAATCTATATTTTCTTTTCTTTTGTTGATGATCCTTCACTAAAACCGACCATGTCAATGAGGGGATCGAAACGTGCCAGTGGGCGACCTCAAAAGGTCCACTGTCGGTCGGATATGCTATACGAAGATGAAAATCAGAAGTTGTTTGAACTGATTGGACCCAACTGTGTTACCCAGGCAACCGCTGTAGTCCGGGTATTCCGTTGTCTACCCTCTAGTCCCAACCGGTGGACGAAGATTGGAGTTGGTGTGGCGACTTTCATCAAAGACAGTAAATTGAAATCTTTCTTCATCCGAGTCTATAATCTGAGAACGAGCACTAAAATTTTCGACGAGGAAATCTACAACGAGTTTGATGATTACAAGGCTGCTTCTAGATACTTTCATCACTTCTCAGGCGCAGTAGGAGTTTGTGGGTTGAGTTTCGCTGATGCAAGCGAAGCTGACTTTTTCAAGGCCATTATAATAGATAGATTAGAAGCACGAGCACAGAAGCGCCGTGCACGAAAACAAAAACAGATGAAAGACCGAAACGAAATCAGATCCCCCAGTCCTTTCACATCTTCTCAAACTTGGACTCCTAATATTTCAAACCCCAATTTTCAACAGAGCAATTATACTAATTCAATGAATACAAATAATTCGAATGGAGAGATCTCAGGAATGCATGTTGTTGAGGTCGGAGGGAGAATGGACAGTAGTAGTCGGTCCATGAGTATGAGTTCAAACTCAGTTAATAAAGGAAGCTCAAGTATGCTGTTTCCAACAAAGCTGTTGCCTTCTTCGAAGAAGAACAAAAGTTTATCCCAGAAAAAGAAAGAGATTAGCAAAACTGACATTGGAACCCCAACTAATTTCAGGCATCTAGAGCACGTCGGTGGGGGACAAAAACGAAGCACGTCATACACCATGGGAAATTCGAATTCGAACAATTTGGAGCTGCTGGGAAGAATGTTAGTATCACATAATATCTGCACAGAACAGGAACTCCAAAGTCAGAAGTTCCAAAGCGCCATCAATCAGTTTATTTCTTCAAAGGCATCAATTGATGATATTATAAAAGCATTCAGTGCAAATCAAATGGCATCATCTCCGACGAATCAAAACACTAGTCCTCCAACCAGCAGTTCGGTAGATTCGATTCACAGACGACATTCGGTCCATTCGCCTACAAGCCCGAAACCCAATGCAAATAATAACACCGTGAATCAAATACAAAGCAATCGACAGAATACTAACAGCAGAAGTTCATTTAGTATTCAAAACGGATCCATTTCAGTTAGCAAGCCCCCTGCTCCAATAAGAAGACCACCACCCGAACCGAATCGACGAGACACTACAACAGCCGTATCAGTGTCTCCCCATAACCGAACGGGAACGCAAAACAACGGCTTCCAAAGAAGTTCCAATCCACCCACGAGTATAAATGACGTACCTGCAAGACCTCCTTTGCCGGCGGGCAGACCGGCGGGGTCACCTGTCTTTCCAGCAAATGCTTTTAAGCACGACCAGACTACAAATGTTGCAGCATACGATGGAAACTTCCCATACACACCTTACGCCAGTGAGCGAGGAGCTGAAACTCATAAAAGAGCCCCTCCGCCGCCACTAAGTGCTCCTCAGGGAAATAGTATGATGCCCTCCAGAGCACCACCACCCAAAACATCACCCAGACATTCTTCTGTTGACAGATTTGGGACGAATGAACAGAAGACTCCGCCGAAGCAAAATAACACGACAACAATACCCTCCTCTCTGTCTCGACCCGGCTCAAGAACTGCAATCTCGGCTCCCTTTGAAGAACCCTCAGCGTCTCTGGTGAAGACATCATCGTCTTACATCTCTACAAACAACTCGACTAGCGATAACAATAGTACATCTGAAAAACATGATCCACGGAGAAAGATCAGTGGTTCTAGCGCCGAAAGTTCTCCGACAATCAACGGAGGACAGTCTCCAGTTACTCTTGAAAACTCAGGTTCCAATAACTCGACTGCGCAGAATCTGAATAGATTCAATATGATTTCGAGAGATCAGCTTCAGAAGAACCAACAAACGCCCAAAAGTGTTCCTCCGAATAAGGCATCTATGGCTGAGTCTCACGCGACAAGCAAAGTTGCTCCTGCAGCGCCTGCATTAGCGAGCTCGAAGCCAGTGGCTCCCCCGAAAACATCAAAATTGAGAGCATCGCCATCTTCTGCAAAAGGAGAGAAAGCATCTGCGCCGAAACCCCCAACTGATGTTGCTTCTAAGAGTGTTCCAGCTCCTCCGCCGCCACCACCAAATGTCCCAGCACCTCCTCCTCCGCCTCCGATTGGAGTACCTCAACCTCCACCAGCTCCAGCAGCACCATCGGCTGGACCCTCGAGAAGAGAATCATCAGTTGCGCCTAAAATGGTTCCATTGACGAAAGCTAAGCCTGATGATCTTCTGGACGCAATAAGGAAGGCTTCTGTCAATCAGCTGAAGCCAGCAGAAGAGCGCACTCTTGAACCAGTTAAAACTACTTCAGAAGATCCTAAATCGAGTCTTCTAGGAGAAATCAAAAACTTCAGAAAAGAAACTGTTCTGAAGAAAGTGGAGCCTAACAGCCATCCCAAAGAAAGCAGCGGGGAGCAAGGTTTCAACCAGTTGCCTGGGCTTTTAGGTGATTTGGCGAGAATGGTAAATGAGCAGCGAAAAACTATGAACCCGGATTCGGCTTCAAACTCAAAGTCAGGAAACGACAGCGACGAATGCAGCGATGCCGACAGCTTTGACGACGATGACTGGGATTAAAGAACACAATGGAATTGAACCAACCAAAGTTGTGAAGTCCAGCGCCAAGAAAAGTTTGTTGTGATACCGAGAATCATCATATTGAAAGAAGAATCACCCTCAACTGGTGTTTAGGCACATATAATAATGCCTCATGCTGATGAATCTGTTAATCCGAGGGCATATTAAGAGTAATGAACGTAATGAGTAATCGAAAGTGGAATTTATTTTTAAGATATCCCAGCGGAATAAAAACTTCACCTATTGATCCAGTTTTCTCAAGTTGGGATCATGTTATCAAAAAAGCGCCGATCATAAATTGTTTTAGAAATTCAAAGACCTTAAAGGACATCTATTTATTCTTTAAAATTCGAAAGTTCAAATTTTTTCAAGAACGTCAATGTTTTTTGTTTACTTGCGTTCATTACTCTTTTCCAATCTTTGATTGGCTGTTTGAAATTTGGTTGAGAAACTGAAAGATATCACTCAGCTGCTGTAATTTGGGCGTTAAACGGGTATTTTTGCAAGTTGCTGGTGCTTTAGAGCATAAATAGTGTTCTGAATTCTGTTTGAGACCTTTGTTTAATCTTTAATCTTCATTTGATTACCCTTCGAAATATACTGCAGATTAATTTGTAGATAATTAATAATTTGTAGCTGCTGGACGGATAATTTGAATTTTTTAAGTATTCATATATCTACAGCTTCTATTTTTGATAGAAACATTGGCGATAAGTTAAAATCTCAATCTGAGTGACGAGTGAAATAGTTCAGTGTAAATTTGTAGCAGAGTAGTACCCGATTGTGTTCAGTAGCACATATTTGCTGGCAGAAGAGAAACTTAAGTTGGTTTTTTGATTCTTTGGTTGTTTTTACTTTAATTAAGGGTTGAATTTGTTGCTTATATCGCCTGAGGGGTGAAGAAACTTTGCCATGCTGTATTTTTTTCACGCAAACCCAAGTTCCATATTGGAGCCAGAAGGAGTCGAGTGGTCAATCATTGTGAAGCGTTTCAGTCGTGATTCGAGCTGCAATGAAGGTTTTTAGAAACGTTTTGATGGTATCTAGAAAAACTTTAGTGTAATTTCGTTTATCGGATCCATTGAGAGTTGAAACACTTAAGACAGGTAGTTCAAATCAGTTCTTATCTTAACTTCAGCCGTCACGTTAACTTCACTTCTTCGACCGTATCCAGATTAGTGGGAATTTCGTTTAGACTCAAATACTTTTCAAGAAAATTTATATTTTAAGAATTTTATATTAGTTTCAATTTAAAGTTTTTTTGTTCGGACCTATCTCGAAGAGTGGGGAGGAACAGCTTATACCATCATAAGAAAGGACCGCCACGACAGGAAGGTGGATTACTTACTGCCGTACACAACTAGCTTGTCTGCGAAGAGTTGAAAACAGTGGAATACGGGACTTTGGCGGCGCAATGTTAAAATTGAAGGCCAATAAAAAGAGCCTCGGGGGCTATTCTCATGGGCTAAGAATTGAACGAGCGAAAAACTCATGGGCGAAGGGCCGACAACAGAAACAATTGAAAGTTGATTATTCAAATGAATCAATTGCTGTTCAACCAAAAGGAATTAAATGAAGCAATCTATTAAATTTGTTCCGGTTCGCCGACGGTCAGTGACTATTTGAAAATTTTGCGTATTTCTGCCTTTTATGTATTCGGCCAATATTAATATTAGGTCCCTAGAAATGTTTACTTTCTTTGAGGTTTTCTCGTTTTCTGTCCAAATTTTGGAATACTGAAATCTGATTGGCTGATTTTTATTATCGCCCATTCGTTCCTTTGCCTATACATAATTACATTCCCCGCGCAGTAGTTACCCAAAACATTAAGGTTTCTATTACTCAACTGCTTGCGAATAGCAATGCTATTTTAAAGGCAGATGCAAATGCTCGCTCATCTATCTGGTGTTCAAATGATTACGTCTCAAATGGCATAATTCCCAAATGGCATAAGAATGAAAAAATTCCCAAATGGCATAAAAATGAAAAAATTCCCAACTGGCATAAATTTCATGCAACAGTTGCATTAAAAAAACGGAGAACAATTTTTTCGTGAACAATGTGAGAAAATTAGTCAAGTTGTCAATTCAAATGTTGATTGACATTTTATCTTGAAAAAGTTGAAGAATTTTTTTTATCAAAAGCAAGAAGCATAAGCTTGCGGTTATTAATAAGCTTCTAGTGGTCAATTTTTTTTCGACAAATTTGTTGCGTAAAATTTGTTTGGAAGCAATTAATTCCAAGTCTTGTTCACATGCTTTCGTTCCTGACAAAATGTTAGAATTAGAAATTGATAGAAAACGTTTAAACTACAATGAAAACTTGAAATTTATGCCATTTGGGAAAAAATTCCACTTTTATGCCATTTGGGAATTATGCCATTTGGGAAGTTACCGTTCAAATATAGCGGATAAAAAGTGCTACTGAAGGAGCGAAAATTACTGACTCCTGACTCCACCCCTTTCAGTGAATGGGGACAAAGGCACCTTACGTCCTGAAAAGTTGGGGGTTGTGTTTTATCGAAGAGCCTCAAAAATGGCTTCTTTGAGTTTTGCTTAGAGGCCAAGGTTTTTCAGTTTATATACAAATGCTCAAGCAATTTACAGTAATTAATGAGTGATCAACAGTAACGCACCTCCTAGCCAGCTGAAGATGTTTGATTCACAAATTCAAGAAAAACTGAACTTAACAGTAACTACGCCCTGCCTTACAAACTTAGGTTTTCGGAAGCACAAAGTTAAAAGATCAATTCACTGCAATAGATAAATTATGACAAAGTTGAAAAAAACGAGCTATTTTGGACAATGATTCAAAAATCTCAAAGGAAGTATATAGTTTAATCAGTTCGATTTCCGTTTTTCTTTCTTTTCTTTTGGTCTAAGATTGACTTGTCATGTTTCGTTTCTTGTTTCGTTGAACAATATTTGTTCCGCTGGCTTCTAGCTTCCAAATCACTAAATTGGTGGATTTTTTAGTTTAAGTTTGGGTGCTCAGTGTTTGAAGCTCGTATCAATCATTGGAAGCCGATTATTGTTTCCATGTGTCGGTTTTTCACCGCTAAAATGGGAAGGTTGTTGGCAGTTTCTTATTCTGATTGTCGGCATTAGTTTTTCTGACTTATTTAAATGGACAATTAATTATTTTGATTAGAGAGCTGAACTTTTTCATATTGTCAAGTGTCGAGCGGAGGTGTACCCGGAGGATAGGGGGGGGGGGGACTTGGAGGGGGGGGGGGGTTAACATGAGAGTTAAAACAAAGTCTTTAAGAAATTTGCTGACTTGTTAGCGTTAAACGCAACTCAGATTTGTGGTTATATTGGACCTATCTCAAGTTTGGCATTTCGAGCTAGTGTCATCATAGGGAAAAGTAAATGTGAAGATTGTGTAAGAGGCATTAGCTAGCAATGTCACGCCTCATAGGGGATCTATCTTAATTTGAAACTCAAATAGACAAGCACAGGTAAAGGATAGTATAAAACCTTACCCGAGGCAGAACTATTTTTGAGTGATGGATAGTCTTTTCTCTAATTGCTAAGGAGAATTGTTGGTTTTCAGGTGAGAATAGAATCGGAGAGAGCTGAAGAAAAAACGCCCAGCTAAGTGTTTATGTCTCAGTTAGTGAAGTTGGTTTGTTTGTTGAATCAAGCTGACCTGAGGTTAGATTCGCGTTAGTTGCCGTTGAAATAGTTCCTGGGAAAATTGACCCTGACCATTAAAAATGACCTTTTTGCTATTTTGGATAATATCGTATTGCATAAAGAGGAGAACATCTACAGAACGGTTTAGAGGAGAATATTTGCGGCGACTCTGAGTCGAAATATCTGCGGTGAATTTGAACAAAAATTCCCCATATCTACATAGATGTTGATATTTTCTTCGATAGAGTTGTCTACGCCTTTTCAATTTCCATGATTATTTTAATGTATAACTCATGCACTGTATATTAACCGATAAGATGTCTCCCGTACCGAACTTTTTGGCCATAATCATATCTGATCATTGTAAAATCATGCAAAATTCATGTCTGTAACAGATATGCAGCATGTCTATATTCGGCATGCACATACCTGCATCAGACCTGCATCAGGTGTGCTAACTGAAGATATGCTCACACCTGCAGCATGCATGATCATGCCTGAACTGAACATGCTCACACCTGCAGGATGCATGATCATACCTGAACTAAACATGCTCACACCTGCAGGATACATGATCATACCTGAACTAAACATGCTCACACCTGCAGGATACATGACCATGCCTGAACCGAATATGCTCAAATCGTTATCTTCAGTATTATAAGATAATTAAAGAAATGGTTAAATTGTAACAACATCATAAACTCAGCTTGATAATGTGACACTTTACTTCAAATTTTAAGTTTTTTTTCAGATTTTTTTTGACATTGGTGAAGTTTTTTGTTGAAAATTTACTGTAGCGGTTAGATGCATCTTTCTTTAATTGCCAGCAGGGAGTCATTGAAGAAAATTGAAGGGTTATTGGCCAAAAAATTTTGTGACGAATTGCTTCAATTCAATGCTTTATAGTTCAAACCGGGGATTCTTAGTTTTTTCGACTATCCCTCCCGTTGCCCCCTGAAACTAACCTGAAGTCCTTTTTTTTGGGATGTAGATGCGACATAATTTTCTTCATTTGAAGATATTTGACTCGAGGAGGTAAATTTGGATAAGCTCATTTCAAACAAAATCTGAAAAAGTGAAATTTTTAACAAGAAAGACCAATTAGTCAAGATAAGAAGTAATGTATAAATAAATATGAATTTGTCAAGTTTTCAGTCAGTCGTTATCATGTCTGCGACAGGCATGAACATGTTTCACTCAGGTCTGATCATGTAAGATCCAGGTATGACCACGTCTGTAGAAAAATACGCATGCTCACTTGTGAACAGCCCTGCATAATGGGGGAACAGTCCTGAGAATATTCTCTCCCCTGCTAAATGGATGATCAGCCGTGAAATGGCACAAAAAGTTCAGTACGGGCTGTATTGAAGAGTAATGAACGTAGTGAGTACTCTTATATAGGTCTGGCTGATTTTTTTGTTTTTGTTTATGAATATATAACTGCTCGGGATGTAATGGTAAAAAGCCTACAAATAGTCTTACATCTTACTTGTACTTTGATCTTCGCCGTCAGACGGAATTGAATCGCCGTCAGACGGTGAAGTTCATCGTAGTTGTTTACATAATTCGAACACAGTCGAGCTGAAAATTATTCTGTCCAGTCGGTCGAAACACTTTGCCTGTTTCGAACACTTTTCATTCGAATGAGTCTAACGAAGCCTAGTTTGCTAAGGTCAAATGCATGTGAACACGTTTTTTTTCGATCGAGGCTGTCGACAATTTGGGTCGAGCACAGTCAAAGGTATCTTAGCTTCATTCGAAACAGCAAGTGTGGGTCGAGTTGGCCGACTTCTAGTAATTTTTGGTCAAAAAGCGCAAACCATTAGTCGATTATATCTGTGATTTTGTTTGAAGACGTTAATTCCTGGCATTAACTTAATGTGAAGGCTACTGAATGATTGTTTCTGTAGCTTTAGTAGAAGCGCTATCAGATTGAGATTGAACACTTACCTTAATCGGCCCCATTTGATCTTCAGGGCATGGCCTATCCACCGAGTTTATACTGGTTGAAAAACTCAATGAAATATAGTACGCATATTTAATTAGCGCTGCTTTGAATGCATAAATATTTTCAAACGCATTTTCTTTTGTTTATTCAAATATTTGTAAATGAATTTGAATTAAGATTTCGAACTTTCAAGTTTTTCAGATATATCAGTTAAATTACAATTAATTACAACGCTAGGATCCATGTTTTATCGAAACTGATTTAGTTTCCGCTCATATCTCCAGTACAAATCATCATCTATTGATAGTTAGAGCTGTCTTAGTTGTTCAACGGTTATCGAAACTTGACTAAATTTTTAGAGCATAATCGATCTATCTAACTGAAATTAAGAGATAGGAACTGTAATAGTTGACGATCTTTAAAAACGGTTCGAAATAGTGAACTAAATTAAAATTAAATCGAAGTAAGATGGAAATTATTTTCAGGATTTCGAATGAAGTGCTATTTGAAATAAAAATGATTTGATTTCTGAATTCTACCACGATGCTTGCCAATCTAGCAGCTGCGAATGCGCAGCAGACGAATAGTATCCCATCTAACTCAGGTGGAGTTGGACTGCTTGTGAATCAGAATCAAACCAACAACCAGCAAGTGGGTGGCAATAATGATGTGGCGATCCACTCGTTGATTGAAGAGCTGCTGGTGTCTGTTTCTGAAATCAAAGTGGGATTAGAACAGCTGTTGCTTAAGGTACTCCTTCAGCTCATTGTCAATAAGAAAAATCTTATATTCAATTGTGTTAAGATTCAGTTCGAAAGTATCGAAAATGAGTTAACTGAGATTTGTATTTGTAATCTTCAATTTGAATATTAATTTAGATATATTTACTTCTTATTTGGTGAAGCGCTGAATGTTTCGACTGCCCTTTATCGTCGATCATAAGTGTTTTGGTTAAAAAAAATCTTATCAAATGTTCGAAAAAGTGAGAAAATTTTGAATATATTTCTGTATATATATATAAATTTTTTCATTTCTTTATTTACACCAGCGACTCTAGTGAGCGTTAGTGTAATAGTACAACTATTCTTTTTATTCTAATCTAAGTCGCATATTTTGGTGGCACCTTTAGGGTTTTGTGATAGCATGTGTTTTGACATTTGAATAGTTAACATAAATGATGCATTCTCAGTGTATCAAAGGAGCCGAAAACAGCTATTACTTTCAATAACAAAAACTCGATTTCAGAATTTTTCCAACTCAAAATATCTAGCAATGGTTTGAAATGCATAGTTTATGCATAATACGGATTCATGGTTTCCATTTTATTACTTGAAAAGTTAGTGTGGATGCCTTCAGTTTGTTATATTCCAAATTATTACTCGCAATTTTTTGTCTACTTGTATTTGGTGACACGTTTGCTGCATGGCATTGACAATTTTGCATATGTGGCTGCTTTATTTGTGACTAGTGTTTGCCGGTTGTTAAGCGTTCGTTGCCGAGATTACAGGGCGTGAAACTCCATTTCTCGAGGTCGCAGGTTGGAAGCCAACGCATAGCAAAGACTTAATTCGAGGCTTATTTCTATTTCATTTTATAAAGCTGCTTTTTTGTCGTGTTCTTGCTAGTGTTTGCGAAGCGCAGCTTTTTCATCCGTTTTTTTTTGAGCGAGCATTTTTCATAGACTTTTAAATTATAGTCAGAAATTTCAAGGCGTCGCCGTGATACGGCACTTCAATTGAAATTATATTAGTCAGTCGTCCCGAATTCAAACTATTATAAATTGTTGAAAAACTCTCCATGTGTCATGCGCAGGATTTTTTTTGACTGGGAGAGGGCGGATTATTTGACTTTTTCGGCCGGTAACTTTTATTTTTTCGAGCTCTGCCGACTCCTCAGTTTTGGGAGAACATGCCCATTTCTGAGAGTTTTTGGAAGGTTCTGACCAATAGATTGTGTCGGCAATGCCCCTTCAAAAAAGGCTATTTTGATGGGGCTTAAATTTTGGTTTTTTTAAAACGAGGAAAGATAGCTTTTGTCTTTTGTCCTGAAGAATTTCAGATTATTGAGTTGATGAAGTACTTTTGGCTCTTTGATGGATACTTACGTACGATCTTTCTGTGTTAATAAATGTTGCCCTACCTAATATCCTCAAGGAATGAGACAAAACCATTATGCGTCTCAAACCACAGGAATCTCGATTGTGAGATGGAGCTTCTTAAAGGTTCCTTGTGGGTCATTCTCCTTTTTTTTCAGGTTGATTCTGGGGTTCACACCAACTCTCTACTGGACAGCCTCTCAGTCACCTCTGGGCAGATGCACATGTTATGTCGCAAACTCAGCCTCAATACACTCGTCCCTATCGCCTCCTCTCCAGCAGGACAACAAAACCAACAGCAGTCAAAGTATTCTCTCCTCAGTAGTGTAGTGTTCACCCCTCAAAATCTCTCAATGGCACAGGACGACCATTTGGCACAATTGACCGAAGGAAGAGCTAGGTTTGAAGCATCTTATCACTAAACATTGCATTACGGTAGAACTGTAAGTGAAAAGTCGTATGAAAGTTTTCAGAAAATGCAAATTTCTTGTTTCTGAAAGTATTGTGTGTCGGGTTGGTACTTTTCGAAAGTACAAGGGGTGGGATGGGTTCTTCCCATACGACGGAAATATCAGCATATTACATCGAGCGGCTGTTTAGAGGAAAGTATCGCCTTCGATGAAGTCTAATAGCTTTTTCTTGGTCTGAAATATATTCGCTCACTGTCAATCAATTATTTGTTGAACTGCTATGTATGATTTTTCGACTTTCGTGGCAAAAAGGTTCTTTCGATTCACGTGAAGGCTTAAAAGTAAATAAAATCATACATAGCAGTTCAAAAAATAATTGATTTTATGTTGGCTTTGCGTGTTCAGATGTTTCGACCACCAGTTGGTTCCTCTCTACCTGCGCACGAAATTGATTCCCACACTGGAAAACAAACTACAGATCCTGGCAGAGGAGGCATCCAGCAAGGACTCTGAGCTACAGGCATCGGTCGGAAGCAACCGGGAGCTATTGCGCAAGATTGTGGACGAAGTGGCTTCATTAATGGCATCAGTAGAGGGTGACTTGAACAGGAGTGCCTCTGAAAATGCCATACAGAGTTGCACAGTCAACGACACCGCAGCTCTCCTTGGTCAGTTGCGATCTCTTTGACTATTTACACCTTTTGCAAAGGGGATTCTTTTTTCTAGGTACAAAATCCCATATGCTTAACCGTTGAATTATTTCATTATAGGGGTGGCAATTCCTTATTAGGTACCAAAGGGGAAAATATTCAAAGAGGTCCGTCAATTGAATTTTCAATCAAATTTTTCTTTAGAGATATAATGTTTTTCAGATTTTGAAGTCTATGATTTGCGTGAAGTGTAGTCCAATGGAATTTCTGATGTGGTAATTTTAAGAAAACATTTTTTCGAATTTTGTTGAATTGTTGTAATTTGCTTGCACAATCCCGCACTGTTTTCCAATTTAGCCACCTTTAGAAATTATAATAATCATAGCGGATCCTCCCTCTGATGTGAAAGGGACAGTGGGTAGTAGTTTTCTTCCCTTGTAAAAGTTTGCTGTCAAATTGAATGAAAATTTAAGCTGCCGTGACTGAAGGACGTGGTATCAAAAATCAAGTTGCAGCTGTTCACTCAAACACCATGAAACAATTCCCGAATGTTTCATTAACGCATCTGCAACAGCAACCTAATATGAATATGATGTCGCAGCATAACCCTCAAATGAACACGGGTGGGGCTCAAATGGCGAGTGGGATGGGCAACAGAGGGAACATGTCCCAGGGGCAGACGCAACCGACGCCCACAATTGTGAAACCTATCATCAGATCTTGATCTTAACTAATATGTTGGTTGCTGTAAATTATGTTGGCTCTGTAGCTCTTGCGTTCGAAAAAATTGTGTTATGTATATCATTGTTGATTGTTCCCAAGTGTTAGATGTTTCGAAGTGACTGTACCTATCGTTGGTCAAAGATTTTTTGATATTAAACTAGAAATGAAATGATTGAAAAATATTATTCTAATGCTTCTGGATCAACGTTTTAAAGTGGTTTCGGATAATCAAATAGCTGCGCAAGACAATGCACCAGTCTTCAAATATATTGGCTGCTTTTCAGACGTGACATGGTGGACTCTGGTCCGAGTAGGGGTGAGACAGCCCTGGTGAACAGACCCCTGAATAAATTATCGAGTAAAAATGCCGACATCAATTTGTCCGCGTTCGCCCTCCTTTTCCGCGAGATGGTAGACTACTGTGACTCACGAGTAACCACGATTGAGGAGCAGCAGCAGAAATTGTCAGAGATGGGACAACATGTCGGTAGCAGGTAACCTAGAAAAATCACAAAACTTCAAAAAAAAAATTGTTTATGATTTATGCAGCAGAATGCATTGAGGACTAAATTTTAACTCTGAGCAGACCAAAAACTGCTGCGCTCAGATTAACCTGATTATGAGACGACCTTTCGACTCAAATAATGGAAAACGCTATAAACAATCTTTTAACGATGTCAGAACGATATCACAAAAAATTGAAACCCAACTTCCAATAATTTTTAAATTACCGAGACGTTAGTTAAGTCTGATAACGTCTTTGGCTTTGGTTTTGCAGGTACCTGGAGCTAGTGTGGTTCCGAGAGAAACAGACGCGGAGAGAGAATAGATTGATTCATCTGTTGACTTTTGTGCAAAAGAATCTGTGGAGAGCATTATTCAACAAGGAAATTGAAACCCTTGAACAGCAGGTGAATTATCAGCTACCTTAAATCTTACAACTCTCACGACGTTTTGTCGCAGTTCGAAATGTTACGGCTCTTTTCCACTCCGCATTCCAGTTTCATAACATTTTTTCCGGCTTTCATGGCTAAATCCGTGATATTACAATGTTAAGAATGATGCAAAGAAGTGTTCAGAATAGTTAAGTTTTTCAACATGCAAAGTTTCATTGCACGAGGACAATGTTGAATGTTTTTTTTTCAACTTGAAATTCAAATGTGATGCAGGTAGAGTTGAAATACAGCCAGTAACAAATCGTCGTCAGATACGAAATTTTGCCTTTGCGAATCGCCTTCTGTGACTAATTGTATCATGGAAGCGTGAGTGACTCATAATTGCTAGAAAATTATTTCAGGCGAGTTCTGCATATTTCATGTACTTAGCTAATGTAATGAAGATTTTTCTGGCTCTGTCAAAACTCCAAACGTCTGTATTTGGCAAAGTTTTCTGCGCCGTGGAAAATTTTCGTTTGGGCGCTTATGGCAAATTTTGTACAAAATATCGCGTTTTTTCGATACGCGCTTCTTCAAAACAGTGTATATTGGCACCGAAGGCTAAGGCCTCTGCTGGACAAATAACTGGGCTGATTTGATGCCTGTACCCGCATTAAGATTTACCTTAAGTCGATTGTACTCAATGACTGTGGAGTCTCTATGAAGTTTTGTAGATTCGACTAAAACGTGGTCTTATAGACAAATTGTTGGCAATGTTCTCAATTTTTTGGTCTTTCGTGTCGGAAAAACAGGAGGGTCCTAAATTTATTTACAACTTTTTTTTGTGCTTTCCATACATGTTGCCGTTTTAACATTTGCGATCAGTTTAGTGTGTTATTACGAACAATCTTTTTTTTTCTAACCTAATCGCAAATAAAAGTGTTCCTTAAAAGTGTTCACCTATGTGGAAATTTCACTAGCATTGTAAATTGCATACCATCTGTTCTTTGCTTTATTTGTTACTGAGTGGTTAATGGTACATGTTAAGCTTCTGTGGCTTATTGGTTAGTGTGTGAGACTCTACATCTCTAGGTCTTAGGCTCGAATCTCATAGGTAGACCAATTTTTGCTAATTCGAGGATTATTTCTAATTTTCATTATTTTATTTTATAGAGCTGCTTTTTGTCGTGTTCTCGCAAGTGTTTGCGAAGCGAAGCTTCACCTCTGTGTAAAAAAAATCATGTTCTCTTTTTTATAACGAATGGTTTCCTTTTTGCCTTGAGTACTGTGCTTTCTAACTAATTTGATTAGTTGAATATCTTTAGAGACAAAAATAATCCAATAGTTAGGAATGTTTGTGGGCTAGAGGTAACGTTTTTTGGTCACGGAGCAGGCAACTTCGCTTAAGCCAATTGTTTCAAATTAGCCAGTGAGTGATATTTTTCTGATTAGGTCTTAAAAATGTACTATTAAAATTAAAGCCCAACTGATAATAAAATCCTCCGATTATATGTAAGATAAAATATCAGATTTTTGTTTTTTGAAGACACAACTTTTGCTACAAGCTTGGCTGACTTCATTCATTCTGTTGTTGTCAGGTAGACAGTGAGAATGCGATCTACTACCTAATAGAGAAGGAACCCCTCGTGAACAGACTAGTGCCCCTCGATGGATCGGGACTCAACTGCGCCGCGTTTAACGCTGGCATTGTCCAAGGTACACGCTATAATTATATTGCCAATTTTTAACAGTTGAACAAGATGGTTAATATAGAAAATGATGAACATTTTTACAATTTTGTTTTGGAGATTAATTGCAAGTCTAAATGTTAGTATCAGAATTTGCAAGTTATTTACGAATATTTTTCAGCGGATATTTTGCTGGTGTGAAAACGAACTATGGCTTGAAGTACTTGAGTTCAATTTTTATGATGAAAGTTCAAATGAAATTTTAGTCTTCGGTTTTTGCTCAAAACGAATTTTCTAAATAGTTTCTCAAAGAAGATTGCAAGACTAATAAGATTGAGCTGATTTAATCTCTTAAAATCTGTTTTTTTTTTCTATCTCGGCTTTTGTTTCCAGCTTTTTTAACTGGAGCAGGATTTCCCTGCACTGTGACGACTCACTGGCATAAGGGGACCACTCTTCTAATCAAATTCGACAATCTCGTGGCAGAAAGAACCAAACAGATGGAACAGAACAGATGACCAATCAAAGTCGTCCTCTTTTTGAAATTAATTGAAGTTGTGGTTGATTTTGATCGAAACTGATTTTAGCCGCTGATTGATAGTCCCTATTCGAAGTTTTAAAATATGAGTTTGGGTTTGCATTCAATCAACAATGAAACAGAAAGCAGTCTAACAGCAACATCTATATTGAAAACAATGGTTGCGATGCAAATTACCATTTGAGATTAAAAAAATAATTTAGCAACTTAAGTATAAAATAACTTGAAAAGTTTAAATTATAAAATAGTTAGTTTTAGTAAGAGAAACGATTGGGGTTCGATTGTTAGATCCCTTTGTTTCAATTAATACCTAAAATTATAAGTTTCATTTAAATTATATAGATCATAGTCGATCTGATCCTGGAGTTAAAATGATAGTTATATAAACAGATAAATTAAAAAGAATGATTAAATAGACAAAGGTTAAGTTTTATGCACAGCTGTTCATCTTTTGTTAACTTTTACCAATAGGAGGGGATGTTTATTTTATCAAATTATTTGTTTTTATTTCTTACAATATTCGTTGAAAGGTAGAGGAGAGAAGGTGCAGAGAAGTTGATGTTCAATCGTTGCTGGGAAGGGTACACTGTCTAGTCTTCACTGTCAGTTTGGTATTGTCCGATGCTGGGGTGGTGGCAATTCGATTTCCTTTCGGTCCGTTAAATTTGACTTAATAAATTTCTTGACTTAAATTTGTTTAAGCTCTGAGTGACTCTATTTAATGTGAAAATTTACTTTAAGACAATTTAAGATTTATTATTAACATTTTAGCTGGCCGTTTCAGCGTAAGAAATTAGTCACTGAAAAATGCAGGCAGGATCAATCCGAAACAATTTGAGTTTGGATTTCCCTGCACCTGCTATTAGACTTCAGTCCTCTCCTTATCTCTTATCCTCCGCTTGATCAGGAGACTGACATTTGCATTTAATTTATTTTTTAATTTAAAAAAAATCAATATTTAGTTTAACTGGGGAAATAATATTTCCACCTGCTTTAATTACTTTAAACTTCAGTGCAGCGGGGAATTTATCTATTTTCAAAGTCAAAACAATAAAGACACTCCGCGTGACTGGCGTCGTGAATAAATACTCAGTTCCCTCGATCATGCGTTAAACTTTCTTAAAAATCTTTGCCTTTTTCCAAGGTTAATAAAACTGAAAGAATGAAAAAAAAATCCGTTCAGATTTCGAGAAGTTAAATATACTTGGATTTGACTTTAAAAGTTTTAAGTTAAGTTGTTCAGTTGAAATCTGAATCAAATGTTAAAAGGACATTCTTATTTTGAGGTGTGAACAAATTTAGAATAGAAAAGAGTCCGCTCGGATCTTATGTTAACAACTAAAACAATAGCCTTTTGTATTTGTGTAGCATTTCCAATTCTACATAGTTTTAAATTCATAAAAAAACATGGTAAATGGAGGAACCCATATCATAGGATTCCACGGATAGAAACACTTTGGTATAAGATGCCGAATATATTCCGAATTCCACGGTCCACGGATAGAAACACTTTGGTATAAGATGCCGAATGTCGAAATGACCCTCTTTACCCTGCCCAAATCTCAATTTGTCTCTGCCGATCGGCACTGGCTCGGGCAGTTCTTAACTGGGCTCTGCCGCTCAGCAGCAATCAGTTTCCACTATCGAGTTTGTTTCCGCTGCGGGGTTGCCTCTGCCGAGTTTCCGCTGCATTCTTTCTCTCTCTCTCTCTCTCTCTCTCTCTCTCTCTACCCAACACACCCCACCCACTTGCCCAACCCTCTCTACCCTGCCCTGCCATACACCCTCAAATACACATGGCGGCTCGACAATGTCTTCTACTATGCTCGAATAGGTTCGAATATTTAATAATTAGCAAAACACCATGTTTAAAGGCTTGACTCCGGAATCCTGTGGCGACCGATCACAATTTTGTTAAGCTGATTTTGTAATAGTTTCGCACTGTAATGATAATTCTGATGTGCAAGGTCATCAAAAGGCTCGTTAGGCCTAATCAGGCGATGCCTTAATTAAGCTTTACATTTTCTAAGAAGTACTAAGAAGTTTTCTTGATAACTTCTATCAGTTGTCCATACCCTACAAACTCCCCTCTTTTAGAAATAAAAAGATCTATCATTTCTTTATTATTTGTGATGTATAAATTGCGAAAATCATGGAAAAAAGTGTTTAATTGACTATCCTTAAAATAGCTGACTGTATCAGCAAAAGCTTTGAAAAACTGTTGAATGAAATTGAGTAGTTTTGTTATCCTTACACCTAATCTTTTCGGGCTTCTACCAGTGAAATTATTCGTTGGTGTGATTTTAAAAACTCATCTATGTTTCAATATCTGAATCTCCGAGTCCAAAATTGAGTTTTTTAGGAATTATGTTTTTAAACCCTTCCGTAAAAGCTTAACTAAAGTTTTGAATAACTCGTATATGTGCAATTGTTTCACTGAGCATATCTTGTAGGTTTCTTTAAAATGTGTGACTGACTGATTTCTCCGTTTTCTTAAATTTTCTTTGTCGCAAATAGTGAATTGTGGATGAATGAAGTTTTGTGACGCCTCATGAGTGTATATGAGATCTACAGTTTCCAGCGTAGGTTCCAGCTAAACTGATAGCTGAATCGGGGAAAGGATTGCCTCCGAAGAATTTTTTCAGTACTTATAAAGGACATGCTGTTTCTGTACACAATTATCTCGTTTAACCCAGATTTCTGATGATCGATTTTGTTCTGTTTGTAACAGGTGGTTCCTTATGATTCCTTTTGGATGCTTAATCTACTGTTGTTTCTTCCAGCAGCTGCGACTTTGCTAACAATTATTGCTTTTTCATCTTCTATGGTAAGGCTTGCCCTTTTCATGTTGGTGTTCCATTGTAGATTATATATAAAACGTAATGATTTTTAATATTTTTTCATAAAAAACGTTTGCTCTCCATTTTTGACTTCCTGCTCATACTTCTTTCTGTAGTTAAAAGAAACCCAAAATTTTGACTTGCAATTATTTTACAAAACAGCAAAACAATTGAAGGTTTAATAATGGTTCTCTTATTTGATTGAATTGTGTGTTGTATGAGAATTATTGAAGGTAAAATTGGCTGTCGAGTAGTGTAGTCTTAAAAATACCAGTAGCATCTTCAAAGAGAACTTGATTCAGGGACTGACCTAGGGTTTTTTCCTCTTCCTCTTTTTGAAATTAATTTAAGTTGTGGTTGATTTTGATCGAAACTGATTTTAGCCGCTGATTGATAGTCCCTATTCGAAGTTTTAAAATATGAGTTTGGGTTTGCATTCAATCAACAATGAAACAGAAAGCAGTCTAACAGCAACATCTATATTGAAAACAATGGTTGCGATGCAAATTACCATTTGAGATTAAAAAAATAATTTAGCAACTTAAGTATAAAATAACTTGAAAAGTTTAAATTATAAAATAGTTAGTTTTAGTAAGAGAAACGATTGGGGTTCGATTGTTAGATCCCTTTGTTTCAATTAATACCTAAAATTATAAGTTTCATTTAAATTATATAGATCATAGTCGATCTGATCCTGGAGTTAAAATGATAGTTATATAAACAGATAAATTAAAAAGAATGATTAAATAGACAAAGGTTAAGTTTTATGCACAGCTGTTCATCTTTTGTTAACTTTTACCAATAGGAGGGGATGTTTATATTATCAAATTATTTGTTTTTATTTCTTACAATATTCGTTGAAAGGTAGAGGAGAGAAGGTGCAGAGAAGTTGATGTTCAATCGTTGCTGGGAAGGGTACACTGTCTAGTCTTCACTGTCAGTTTGGTATTGTCCGATGCTGGGGTGGTGGCAATTCGATTTCCTTTCGGTCCGTTAAATTTGACTTAATAAATTTCTTGACTTAAATTTGTTTAAGCTCTGAGTGACTCTATTAAATGTGAAAATTTACTTTAAGACAATTTAAGATTTATTATTAACATTTTAGCTGGCCGTTTCAGCGTAAGAAATTAGTCACTGAAAAATGCAGGCAGGATCAATCCGAAACAATTTGAGTTTGGTTTTCCCTGCACCTGCTATTAGACTTCAGTCCTCTCCTTATCTCTTATCCTCCGCTTGATCAGGAGACTGACATTTGCATTTAATTTATTTTTTAATATAAAAAAATCAATATTTAGTTTAACTGGGGAAATAATATTTCCACCTGCTTTAATTACTTTAAACTTCAGTGCAGCGGGGAATTTATCTATTTTCAAAGTCAAAACAATAAAGACACTCCGCGTGACTGGCGTCGTGAATAAATACTCAGTTCCCTCGATCATGCGTTAAACTTTCTTAAAAATCTTTGCCTTCTTCCAAGGTTAATAAAACTGAAAGAATAAAAAAAAAATCCGTTCAGATTTCGAGAAGTTAAATATACTTGGATTTGACTTTAAAAGTTTTAAGTTAAGTTGTTCAGTTGAAATCTGAATCAAATGTTAAAAGGACATTCTTATTTTGAGGTGTGAACAAATTTAGAATAGAAAAGAGTCCGCTCGGATCTTATGTTAACAACTAAAACAATAGCCTTTTGTATTTGTGTAGCATTTCCAATTCTACATAGTTTTAAATTCATAAAAAAACATGGTAAATGGAGGAACCCATATCATAGGATTCCACGGATAGAAACACTTTGGTATAAGATGCCGAATATATTCCGAATTCCACGGTCCACGGATAGAAACACTTTGGTATAAGATGCCGAATGTCGAAATGACCCTCTTTACCCTGCCCAAATCTCAATTTGTCTCTGCCGATCGGCACTGGCTCGGGCAGTTCTTAACTGGGCTCTGCCGCTCAGCAGCAATCAGTTTCCACTATCGAGTTTGTTTCCGCTGCGGAGTTGCCTCTGCCGAGTTTCCGCTGCATTCTTTCTCTCTCTCTCTCTCTCTCTCTCTCTACCCAACACACCCCACCCACTTGCCCAACCCTCTCTACCCTGCCCTGCCATACACCCTCAAATACACATGGCGGCTCGACAATGTCTTCTACTATGCTCGAATAGGTTCGAATATTTAATAATTAGCAAAACACCATGTTTAAAGGCTTGACTCCGCAATCCTGTGGCGACCGATCACAATTTTGTTAAGCTGATTTTGTAATAGTTTCGCACTGTAATGATAATTCTGATATGCAAGGTCATCAAAAGGCTCGTTAGGCCTAATCAGGCGATGCCTTAATTAAGCTTTACAATTTCTAAGAAGTACTAAGAAGTTTTCTTGATAACTTCTATCAGTTGTCCATACCCTACAAACTCCCCTCTTTTAGAAATAAAAAGATCTATCATTTCTTTATTATTTGTGATGTATAAATTGCGAAAATCATGGAAAAAAGTGTTTAATTGACTATCCTTAAAATAGCTGACTGTATCAGCAAAAGCTTTAAAAAACTGTTGAATGAAATTGAGTAGTTTTGTTATCCTTACACCTAATCTTTTCGGGCTTCTACCAGTGAAATTATTCGTTGGTGTGATTTTTTTAAAAACTCATCTATGTTTCAATATCTGAATCTCCGAGTCCAAAATTGAGTTTTTTAGGAATTATGTTTTTAAACCCTTCCGTAAAAGCTTAACTAAAGTTTTGAATAACTCGTATATGTGCAATTGTTTCACTGAGCATATCTTGTAGGTTTCTTTAAAATGTGTGACTGACTGATTTCTCCGTTTTCTTAAATTTCCTGTCGCAAATAGTGAATTGTGGATGAATGAAGTTTTGTGACGCCTCATGAGTGTATATGAGATCTACAGTTTCCAGCGTAGGTTCCAGCTAAACCGATAGCTGAATCGGGGAAAGGATTGCCTCCGAAGAATTTTTTCAGTACTTATAAAGGACATGCTGTTTCTGTACACAATTATCTCGTTTAACCCAGATTTCTGATGATCGATTTTGTTCTGTTTGTAACAGGTGGTTCCTTATGATTCCTTTTGGATGCTTAATCTACTGGTGTTTCTTCCAGCAGCTGCGACTTTGCTAACAATTATTGCTTTTTCATCTTCTATGGTAAGGCTTGCCCTTTTCATGTTGGTGTTCCATTGTAGATTATATATAAAACGTAATGATTTTAAATATTTTTTCATAAAAAACGTTTGCTCTCCATTTTTGACTTCCTGCTCATAATTCTTTCTGTAGTTAAAAGAAACCCAAAATTTTGACTTGCAATTATTTTACAAAACAGCAAAACAATTGAAGGTTTAATAATGGTTCTCTTATTTGATTGAATTGTGTGTTGTATGAGGATTTATTGAAAGGAAAAATTGGCTGTCGAGTAGTGTAGTCTTAAAAATACCATTAGCATCTTTAAAGAGTACTTGATTCAGGGACTGACCAGGGTTTTTTCGAGGGGGATTTTAATCAACCTTTTTTTCTCGAGGGGGGATTTTCATCAACCTTTTTTCTCAAGGGGTATTTCGAGGGGATCAACCTTTTTTAGGTCGACCAAATTGATCTTTTGAGCAATTCCAAATCACTATGCAAATGTTTGAAAAATCAGGCCAGCAGGCTTTATAGGGACTTTTTGGTAACGTTTCCCTGCTCAAAGTTAATGTCTTGGCGTCTCAAAATGGATGTCTTAAAATGGAAGCACAGGGAGGTTGACCGTTTGGTTGGTCAGAGGGTCAAATCCCTGAAAGGGAAGAAGCGTCTCCTCCCTTCTGGCTTGATTTCAAACAAATTATTTGAAAAATAATTAATTTTCTAATTTGGGGAATATACATTCGGGACAGATAGTTTAATTATGAGTTTTATTTGTATTTATTCTTGTTGAAATAACTGTATATTTTGGTTTTGAAATAAAACTGCTCGAAAATTTTATAAAATTCATTGTTTCTATATTGATGGCAATCTGAAATAATATGAAGGAATCTTAAAAGAGATATCCTGCATGTGTTATAACTGTTTTTGAAAACAGGGATGCTTTGCGGTGTAATAATTTTTGAATTTGCTTGAGAGTAGGCAGAATCATTGGACAAGCAAGCTCATTTTCAAATGAAAGTTGTCAAAGTGACCATTTTCTGTTTTGATGAAAGTGAATTTCAGATAAGTTGGACTCCTTTAATTGCCATCAAAGCAAACGCATAGCAAACTTCGACTTCTATACAGGAAGAGAAAAGCAAAATATCTTAGAGGATCGGGCAGCTAAACATTTACCTCAACTTCTTTTATGAGACTAAAGTTCTACATTTGGTTTGCAGAAGCCTAACACTTTTGGCCAACCTTTTATAACTGCATGGAAATGGTTGTGAGGTGTAAAGAACATCTTCAGAATTAGACGGAAGAGATCAATACAATTGAGTAGTCGACAATGACTAGTGGAAATGGCGTGAACACTGGAGGTACTGTTGGGGGAACGACAGCAGCGACCCGGCAGTCGGCAACTGGTGGAACAGTGGGAGCGGTGGCGCCTACTCCGGACGACTTCAAAGCTGCTTTAGAATTACATCATTATAATTTGAAACAGGGCCAAGTGGAAAGAGATAAACGACTGAAGGTGCGTTGTCTTTCATCCGATTTGTTCGAATATCAGCAGAGTTATATTCAGTATTGACATCATCTTAGCAACAGCAGCCTCCAGTTTTTAATGCTGGCACCTTTGCTCTTTTTTTTATGAGTTTTTACTATTGCGATTAGCAAGGGTATTGCAACCAGGCACCAGGTTTTTTTTAAGCGTGAACATTTTTGCTCACAGGACCCATCTGGATGTCATCTCTTGGTGGTACCTTGGTATATAGTTAATTCAATGTTCTTAATTTCTTCGAGTTACTCAGCTTATAAGCCTGGAGGTAAAAAATACGCGTGGGACGGCAAAGGTCGTGGTTTCGAATCTGACCTGGACATGTTTCTGTATCTGTATCAAATAAAATTGTCGGCCTATTATTTGTCTGCTGATGCTTTGTTGCCGCATCTTAGACTTTTTTTGTGCTGTATACAATTTTCATTGTACTTGTTTTAAGTGTTTTAATTTAGTCCTGCAATTTGTGATTTTACCAACCTTGATTTCAATTTTCCTTTTCGGTTCAAAAACCTAATTCGACTTAAAATAGTTTGGCCTATTTTTTATCGGCTTACTGACCTATTTTCGGTTCGTTTCAAGGGAAACACTCTTTATATGGTACGTTCCGTTTTTTATGCCCCCGTTTCTGCTCAATGCAGTGTCATCCGTGGGGAGGGAGATGTTATCCCATTCGCCATAGCCAGTCCCACTTTGAGGGGGAGGATGACACTGGGATCTCTCCAACAGTGACCGAAGTGGGATTCGAACGCACGAACTTCGTATTGAGAGACGTGTGCCCGACTCCACTGGGCCAAGGCAGCTCTTGCTAAAAGTTTAAGAAAATTATATAGTTGAAACTATTTCATGACAAAGTTTTTTTTTTGGTTCTACTCAAGTTTTGTCGAATCATACCGCTCGATATTTGTTATCGAGTTTTCAAAACAAAAACGCGGTCGATTGTATTTCTGGGCATATTTTCTGCAAGAAGTTTTTTTAGTTGTGAACTTTAATTTTTTTTCTTTTCTTAGAAAGCCGATGAACTTTGCTGAGACTATTATATCGGTCGTGCTCTAATTGCTCAAATTTTTCACAGAACTGCATTTTTATATATTACTTCTAGATATATATGCACTATTGAAGCTCAATTCAATTTCAACTGCTAAAAGTCAGGTTAATTGCGCTCTTCCATTGCGAAGTTGTAAAGTTCAAGAAAAACGTGATTGACTTCGAGTTTCAAAAATGGAATTTAGTTTTCAGATTTTGTAGAGCAGACTAAAATTTTTACATATTAATCTAGTTTTCTCCATTTTAGTTATTTTAATCAAAAAATTGTTCTTAAAATTCACAGAGCTGTCAAGCCATCTATCTTTATATTGAAAATCTGAAGTTGATGTTTTTTTAAACAAGCCAGTTTCTTTTTTTCTGTTTCCTTGCGTTATTGACTCCTTTCCAACTGTTTGTTGGACTTAGTGGCTTTCCTTTTCTCTGCTAGTTGCTATGCTATTTTTAAGTGGTATTGAAAGTAGTGCGAAGCTCCGCTTTGCCTCTGTGTACAATTAGTAAAAATTATAGAATTACTTTTATAACCCTTGCGATAAGCAAGGGTATTGAAATCGGCTACAAGAGTTTTTTCCGTTGATAACATTGTTCTCAGGCTCGGATCTCCGATTTCAAGTTGCGTATCAATCTCATATTGGGTAAATTTGAGGTAAATTAGTTTTTTTTTAAGTTATGAGTTTTCTGCAAGTTCTTTTTTGTGGAAATTGATTGGAGTTATTGTATCCCGAATCCTTCTTATGTTGTAGGTAATTGATTTTTTTAACAATCGAAAAATTTCTGCATTTATTAGCTTTCGATTTTTTAAACAACTTATTTAAGTTCTGTGTAGAATAACTTTTTGAAAATTTGTGCATATGTTTTTTAGTCACGAACTTTTTGAGAGAACCTCTAAGTGGTGTAGTCGAGATGTCGCGACTTTTTATTATCTTTGGATAGAAAAACTGGGGCGTGACTTATCAAGTGTTCTGTGTTTTCAGGCTCTGGAAGACGAGATGGTTGGCGCTGGATTGAGTGAGGAGGAGAAGGATGACAGGCGGAAGGATCACTACAAGAAGGAGAGCAACTATCTCCGAATCAAGCGCCAGAGACTCGCCTACTCCGACTTTGAGACACTCAAAATTATAGGAAAAGGTACAGTTGCAAAAAAGCTAGAATTCTGCAATGCAAATGAATCATGGATAGAGTTCTCCGTTGATATGAATTATACGGAAATGTTGGTCAAAAATCAAAAATTTGTATCACTAATGAGGATAAATAAAGTACACTGCTTGCAATAACAGTAATACTAATGAAAAAGAATGAACATACATTGCTTGAACAGTGCCATATTGTAGGTGCGTTTGGCGAAGTGCGTCTAGTACAGAAGAGAGACACTGGCCACACTTATGCCATGAAGATCCTGAGGAAGAACGAGACTCTGAGAAGAGCCCAGATTGGCCATGTGAGGGCGGAGAGAGATGTGTTGGTGGAGGCGGTGGACCAGGATTGGGTTGTGAAGTTGAGCTTCGCATTCCAGGATCCGTACAATCTCTACTTCGTCATGGAGTTCCTTCCTGGAGGCAAGTTCGAGTCTATAATGTCGTTTACGACTGCAAATCAAAACGATTTTAAGTGTCAATGAACGTAGTGAAGAGACTTATTTTGGTTGTGTTGGGCTTTTGTTTTTTTTTTGGTAAAAAGTTCAAGCTCAAATATGAGTTTGTTTTGATTTTTAATTTTATTTTATGTTCAGTTCTATTCTAATTAGGAAATCGCAAATGACGCAAAAAATCCTGAATGATTTTGAGTTTTGGAAGTGGATTTCAATTTTCAGGATTCCCAGAGAAGTAAAAAATTATCAGCGAAATTATCTAATGACCCATATTTTTCTAATTGTGTTAGTTTTGTCAAAGAGTTGTCAGATTTTTCAAAATCAAAGAGCTTTAAGGTCATATTTTTTTCTTGAAAAATTTTCAAAAAAAATTAGTAGTTGAGTTTGTTAAGACTTGCCCAATGTCTGTCGGCTGTTTTTTTTTCGTTTCGAATTTTTACATGCACACTTAGGCCTGAATTTTTTTTAAGGTGGTTTTAAATAATGATTCATAATCGGCGATTGATTCACATCTCCTCCTGTCTCAGTACTCCTCCTGTCTCAGCCTTTTGAACGCTAAAGAGTCTGCAATTTATGTTTTACTATTTTTCTCGTCTGTTGATGCGAATTACGATTTCGGCTCATTGTAGGACAATATATTCATATTTCGTTAAATGTTTGGAATTTGATAATTAACAGATGGCAATTTTTTATTTTGTCTGCCCGTTAGGTGATATGATGACTCACTTGATGAAGAAGGACGTGTTGTCCGAGTACGAAACGCAGTTTTACATAGCAGAGACGGCACTGGCCATCAACTACATCCACACGAAGCTTAGATGCATCCACAGAGACATCAAGCCAGATAACCTATTACTGGACGCCAAAGGACACATCAAACTGACCGACTTCGGACTATCCACAGGTAGGTTAAAAAATCCACTTAGTTAGAAATTGAAAGGATGCCAGTGTTAGCAGACAGAAATTAGCAGAAACTGTGCCTCAATCGTCTATTTTCTGAGTCTTATTTTTCGGGGTTTATATTCGTCTTCGCTTGCCTGTTTAGACCTTCTTTTATCGCGTTTTGCTCCTGGAAAGTGCTTCCGTTCCAGAACTTATATGCATTAGTTCATGATTTTGCGTATAATTGAACAAAGACAGCTGGTTGCAGTGTAAGTAGCACTGAATACAAAATACAAAAACTATTTAAAAAAGTCCAATCCGCTGCTGAACATCGAATCAACAAGTACTCAAAGCAACTCAGATATGCTTCTTATGAGAGAACATCTCATACATTCATTGGGAAGCTGTTATAATTTAGCGGTAGCATGATTGATATAGATTGATGCTTTCAGGTCACCGCAAAACACATCGCACAGATTTCTACAAAGACCTCAGTCAAGTAGAAGCACACCACTTCGTGCCTGCATCGTCGGCAGGGGATTCCAAACGAACAGCTGAGAAGTGGAAATCGTCCCGACGGAAGGCGGCCTACAGCACAGTCGGGACTCCCGACTACATAGCACCAGAAGTGTTCACGCATCAGGGATATGGCTACTCATGTGACTGGTGGTCTCTAGGTGTTATCATGTACGAGATGCTGATTGGCTGGGCTCCCTTTTCAGTACCAGATGGAGGCAACGAGAGAGAGGTGGCTAGGAGAATCATAGACTGGAAACATTTTCTCTCCTTTCCAGTCGACAGACCAATCTCAAAAGTGAGAAACTTGTTTCTTGCTGTATTATGTATAAAGAAACGAAAATACTTGATAAGTTTTGCGTTTTTAGTGAAAATATGGTGACGTCAAACATGCTTTGGTTTTAAAATTAATCGAAAGACCGTAAGCTACCTTGAGTTCCAAGTTTAATTGAATGTGAGGCAATAATTTCTAATGACCCGATAGTTTCATAAGCGGTTATAATTGTAAGATGTGTGGTCCGAAGTTGAAGTTGCGCCTCCCCTGCCGAAATAATGAGTTATGTGTTTTTACTGCTTGATATTTTAGCAACAGTTTTTAATGACTTCATTTATCACCTCCACGGCTTTTATACTGTAGCGGTCTGATTGAAATTGTGTTTGGGTTAGATGACACGGGTTCAACTGATTCGGAGTAGAAAAGAGTAAGAAATGAGTGCGATTGTATGTGTAGGAAGCTAAAGACCTGGTGAAGAAGCTGTTGTGTGAGAGTGAGAAGCGACTGGGCAGTCAGAAGGAGGTGGATGACCTAAGAGGCCACAGCTTCTTCGGCAGACACTTTGACTGGGACAACATACGCGAGAGACCAGCCCCATTCGTCATACAGGTACAGCAACACTCAGCTAATAGATGTCAAATTAGATGTTACTATTCATTTCTACAATAAACTTAAGTTTCGATGAAAATAGTTCTTCACATTTACAAGTATAACTTTCATTGCATAATATGACCATGCATTCACCCTGAAGAAATCGATAAAAATTGATCTGTGTGGATTAGTTACTAAAAATTGCAAGCTTGATTGTGGCTGAACTTGACAGCAGTTGAAAGCATATTCTCGAAACAAATACATTTTGTACTGCAGTTTCTACTTTTGAAATCAGTCTATATATTTAATATTACCATATAACAAGAATGAAGGAGACACTGGAGTTAATCCTTGGGATCTCGAATATATTTACGATGTGAAAAAAAACCTAAAAGCATGACCATGTTTAGGTTAATGCTATTGACGACACTCGATACTTTGATGAGTTTGAGAGCAGCGACCTTGTGTTCCCCGACTCCGTGCCGGAGACTGGCAACTGCTTCCAGAACTTTACCTACAAACGGTTCGATGGAATCCTGTAGTCAGCACATGACATGAGAATTTTGTTCAGGCAATTTCTCTTGAAGTCGATTTGTCTCATTGCGAAACTTTAATCTCTTGGACTGGACTACAATTGGGCTTCCTATTCTATTTTTGATCTCGACCAAAAACAACTGCTTTCAAAAAACAATCACAATGTTAAATGCAATCGGATCAACCAAGCAATTTTTTCTAAATCCTTGTGAGAGCTCCAAGTTCCACCCCCTGAAAACGATACTTTCAGTTCTAAAGCCAATTCTTCTAATTTTGAACCATTGAGCTGGACCCTATCAAATTGATCATGCAATTTGGTGAGGTATGGTGTTATAGGGTTGATCCTTTTTTGGTCGCTCATTAAAACAATAGTTTAAACCGTGGAAGAATATTAGCTCCCAGTTAAAGTAGCCTTGCACTTTTTCTTCAATAATTCTATTTGATTGAGTTTCGCTGCTCTTATTCTGTCAGCGATTAATGAACTGATTCTGAACTTGCCCAATGACGTGTAATACATTCAATTGGAATCATATAGCCTTTACTTATTCTAATTTATTACAATTCAAATGTCAAAAATCACCGTTTTGTTTAGTTCTAAATTGTACTTGGAATACGCTGTTGTTTGAGACCCAAAGAGGTCCAAAAGTCTGTATCATATATTGCGTTGTGTGGCATGTGTGTATAAATCTTGCGTTTTTTCAGACAGTCATGGCCCTTCGTAAAGTGAAGGGAGCAGTGGAGAGAGTGTTCGACAAGAACCTGAATGACCTCGTCAGGGGCATCAGGGCACACAAGGACGACGAGGTCTGTACATTTTAGTTCTTTACTCCAGTTACTCGCTCAACTCATTTCAATTGGCTCAGTACACAATATATGGTGGATGGGTTTCTTTAATTTTCCGAAAAAGCATGAATGTTGCTTTAATGAGTCGGGTTCATTTTTTTTTCAAAATAGAGGAAATTATCTTGGTTCTCTCTTTTTGCAACCTTGCTTTTATATTTGAGCTTTGCAATTCTGATATTTAAAAAAATCTTTTAAAAAGGCTTAGAAGGATCTTGCCAGATTTTGAAATGTTAAAAAATCGGGTCTGATATGATTTTAATTTCAAAGGAATTCAAGGCATGATGAAGTTTCAAAAAAAACAATGCATCTTATAAGCATCACTGTTGCGCTTAAACTTTAGTTAGCAACGAGGAAATACTGCGAGTTATTGAACTTCAATTATTGCATTTATTTACGTGCGATACTTCACTATGTCGACTTTTTATTATGTCTAGAGACTTTAGTATGGCGACTATTTATGATCTTTACCTTAGGCGAAGTTCATCGCAACCTGCATTGATGAGATCAAGCTGGAACTGAGACAGGAGTCTATGGATGTGAAAGCCAATGCAGTCATCAAACTAGTCTATGTCAGTTGAATAGTTTTTTTTAATACATGATAGTAGTTATGCAACCTCACTGATAGCACTTTTGCGCCAAAATTAAACATCAGCTAGAATTAGTAACAGTAGAAAATTAAAGGAGAGTAATCAAAATATGCGTGATTTCATCGGAGGAGTGTTTTGCTTCAGCTACAAATGCTGGGCTACGACATCAGTTGGGCCTGTTTCAATATGGTAGAGGTCACGAGCAGTCCAAAGTTCACCTTCAAGGTCAGAAAAGAAATTTAAAAAACTACATGGTCTTATTATTTTAAAATTATCCGAATCAGTATTAAAGGTAATGGTAATGAACTAACATGTTTAGTCAATTGTTACCATGATTAAAACGTGCCTTCTGTAAATTTCAAAATTTTATCGTATTTTCAGAGAACGGGATATCTGGCTGCCTCTCAGGCGTTCCGTGAAGACACTGACGTCATAATGCTCATGACTAATCTCATCAAAAAGGTCAGCTGGAAATTTCTTTTATTTAGATTAGCTACTGACGACTAGAAATGGTAATTTGAGCTTATTGAAATGTTGCACAGGACTTGGTTGTGAGCAATCAGATGTACGATGCCGCTAACAGTCTGACAGGGCTGAGTTGTTTCATGACTCCCGAGTTGGCCCAGGACCTAACCAATGACATCCTCACACTGCTGAGCTCATCCAAGCCTTATATTAGGAAGAAGGCTGTCCTCATCACCTACAAAGTGTTCCTCAAGGTAACTAACATTTGCATTTTGTTGAAGCAAATCTTGATTTACGTTGAAAAATTGGATTTTGTTGTTTACTGAATTTAATAATTAATCACGCTGTATTTTTCAATGAAAATTGTCAAATAAATCTTATTGTGCGAGCCTATTAACACTTTAACAAAAACCTGTTCACCAAGAAACTTTTTGTTCCTTTTACAACAATTGAGAGTTGAAAATCTTCGAAGATCTTTATAAGTCACGTGTTTTCAGTATCCAGAAGCGCTCAAACTTGCTTACCCGAAGTTGAAAGAGAGATTGGATGACTCAGATGCTGGTGAGTATCAAGTACAAAGTCTCAAATTAAAGCACAACGAGGATCAAGTTAATTTTTAAAATTGAGTTTCAAAAAACAGATGAATGGCACTAACGTAACAAATATAACATTTTGCAAGAAAGAACTAGACATGAAATTCATTTTTGGTGTCAAAAATTTGTTTTTCTGACGGTTATGTAAGGCAATTTAATGACAGTCAACAATACAGTGCTGATTTAAATTATCCGGACAAAACGAACAAAACTTGAATTTTCAAACTCGATTTTCTGAAATTGGGTTAAGATTAGACAAAAAGTGAACAGAACAAAAGATGCTTAGACTTTCATCAGAATTAATATGGTGCAATTTTTTCTCCGAATTTCTCAGCCAATATTTTACCCCAAAAATGGGTCATTTTTTTCAATTTATCAGAAAATACGCTGAAACTACTTTGTTAATTGATAAGAAAATTATATCACAAGAAAATTAAATCTCCAAAAGTTTGCGCAAATTGTTTAAAGTTTGTTTGTAAACAGAGGTTCTGGGTTTTATATAGTAAAAATCACAATTATTGACTATCAAGTAAAAAAATTTTCTCTTATACTAGTTTTTGGAGATTTAACCTTCTTAAACTTTGTTGGGCTGTGTAAGAGGCTTCTTGTGATCTATACTTTTTATCAATTAACAAAGTAGTTTCAGCGTATTTTTTGATTAATTGGAAAAAAACCAAAATGACCTATTTTTGTGGTAAAATTTTGGTTGTGAATTTCAGAGAAAAATTGCACCATATTAATTCTGATGAAATTCTAAGCAACTTTTGTTCTTTTCACTTTTGTCTAATCTTAACCCAATTTGAGAAAAACGTGTTTGAAAACTCAAGTTTTCATTTTGTCCGGATAATTTAAATCAGCACTGTATACTAGATAAAAGTAGTACGCGAATTAAGTGGTGCTGAATATTTTAGGTGTGCAATGTGCGGCAGTGAATGTGATATGTGAGCTGGCGAGGAAGAATCCGAAGAACTACCTGGCTCTGGCGCCTATTTTTTTCCGAATCATGACCACCTCCACCAACAACTGGATGCTCATCAAGATCATTAAGCTGGTAAGTCTATTGCTGCTGCTGAATAGTTACACGGGATAAGTCCTGAGATCCATACTAACTTGCTATAAATCCTCATATACAAACTTATTAGTAGTATCCACACAAACAAGACTTATGTTTCAAATTACCCCGATACCCCACTTAACTATAATGGTAATCTTAGTGATTCGAACTTTTATGGAAGTTTAATTTTCTTCCCCCTTATTTGATTTTCTGGCATTTGTGCGAAAAATATCTTACCGCTGAACTTTCGCGCTCTTAAGGATCCATTTAATTCACCGTTTGGTCATATAAGATGGTTTGGTTCAGAAAATAATAAATTCGTTTTTGGAAACCCAATTTACCATTCTTAATATGCAGTTGATTAATCAGTTTTGGTATGCCTTTAGAGCAGATACTGTTTTCTTGTTGAGATATCCTTTTTAAGAGTGTATCTTCTGTTCAGTTTGGAGCTCTGACCCCTCTTGAACCCCGACTGGGACGCAAACTAGTGGAACCACTGACGAACCTGATACACAGGTGAGTGTTGATTGATGAATGGCAAGGTTAATGTGGAAGCAATTTTTAAAAACAGTTGGCATCTAGACCTGAATTAGGCTTTATGTACGCAATAAAACAATTTAAAAATTTTATTTTTTTCAAACTTTGTAATTAACAAGAATTTACAAGAATTTTTCGCGGAATGTCAGTTTTGAAAGCTGTTTGTTATAGTACTTCGGCCATGTCATTACTGTACGAGTGCATCAACACTGTCGTGGCAGGTATGCTAACGTCAACAGATTCACTGTTGACATACTATTGTAATCTAAATTGCACGAGTTTTCCTTTCTCCTTTCTTTAATTTATTCTTTTCTTAATTTTCGGATGTGCAAGTATACTATCAAAACCAACAGTGGAACAAATCTACCAAACGACAGAGAATCATCATCGCGACTGATCTCATTTGTTTTGAGCTGATTTTTCAAAATTATTGAGTGGAAACAAATTGATCGCGTTATTTTTAATCATAAGCATTCCAAAACCAGGAGTGTTTTCGAAGTTAAAAGATAGAAACTTCATAATAATCAATGAAAAATATATAGAGATTTTACACTTTTTAAAAATATATTCATCCATCTGTCGCACATATACCTGATCTTTCTCGCTTATAATGTGTCTGCCTGTCTGTCTGTTTGTGTGTTCATTGTTCATTTCTGGCTCTGTTGGTAGTTGGGCTGTTCTGTTAACTGTTGTTTTGTTTTTGTGCTGCTTACAGTGCTCATCTCCATTTCTTCAGGATTGCCGCAACACAACTCCTCCATACAGGTAAACAACATCAAACAAACAAGTGACCACATCATTGGTCACCCTACCGCCCAAAGGCGAAGTGGTGGTACGTGAGTTGACTCTCAATCAGTAAATAATGATATACCTACAGACAAATAGTTTTTTTTAGACCGTATATGTAGCAAAATGAGAGAAATAAAAAGTAGCACATCTAATGTTATCAGATATAAAAGAGTTATAATGAAAAAAGCCAATAAGTGCGATTTATATGTTTTTATCATTTTTTGTTGAATATGAGAGGTCATTCTGTCGCTGTTCTGTGAGGGTGATTGTAGTACATTTCTATCTTAAATGGGCTTCTTTGTACGTAACTTGAGCTTCATGCCGTCGACAACTTGATTTTTCATCCTTTCAACAATAATTTTAACAGTCAGGCCTTTCAGCTGGAATAGAAATCTATTGGAGAGGTATTTTTCTGGTCGTAAAAACGAGTCGAGTTATCAGATATCTCTGGGACAAGTTTTTTCTGGGCTTGTAATGCCTAAAGCGGGCAGCGTTATTAAGACAGACCAAATTGATTTACTATAGGTAGGCAAGTTGCGCTCTTATAATAAAAATGCAGATGGCGCGAAACAGGGGGGTTGAATTACAGCCTCAAAAATGTATGGTTCTTGATTTACCCAGCTCATTTATCAAAAAATACTCATTTATCATATTTCTCATATTGGGTTATTTAAATTAAAATCAGCCATGACTTCTTTTTAAATCAATAATAATTCTTAGTTCGTATATTCTTTTCCGCGCCTTTGATGTAATAAAAAGCGGGCAGTTTTGCGATGTACTTGAGCTCATTGATATTTTTCCAACTGTCTGATGGCTATGTTACCCTTTTGAAGTTACCGAAGTCTGTGCACAAAAGTAAATATCTGTGTCTTTTTTGTAATCATTTTTCGTAATTATTTTTTGGTGACCTCTTTTTTTTTCATTTGATGCAGGTTTCTTCATTTAATGCAGTTTTGTAGGTTATTCTCCATGAAAGCTCGATTTATTTACGCGCAGCGATTTTAACAAGTTTCAAAGAGATCTAGCAACCATTGCAAATTATATTGAAGGAGGATGATCTGCCAAGTCATTGAAATAAGTGGACGGATCACTGCACTGATTGAAATAAGTGAATTTTGTTGAGTAAGGATCGATTCTGAGTGTTTTTTTTTATGTCGAAAGCTTCCACAAGCTTTTTTTTCCCGACTACATTGTATCCGGGTGTTTTTTCAGCATATTTTCAGATCAATTTTCGCTAGCAAACATCAGATAAAATTTTTGCTTCACCTATAACTCTTTTCTAGGAATTGTTTTACCAGTTGATTAAGCTTGTATTAACCAGTGATTGAAGCTTCTAATGAATCTTCCCCTCCCCTCAAATAATTCTAAACAATGATAGCTGGTTACTGTGCAAGTAGCACTGCATGATCCGGCCATAGCTTTAGAAAAGTACGAAAAGGGTAGTTTTTTTGCGTGGTGTGATAAAAGGATGTGAAGAAGAACTAGAACGTAGGCATAATCGACAGTCATAGTAAAACAGGCAAATTGGAAAACAGTTTTGTGGTAAGACTACGAGGAAAACAGAAATATATAGATTTTTGATTCCCAAAATGACCGTAAAAACTCCAAATACTAACTTTACTCTAGTTAAACTAAAATTAAGCATAAAGGAGTTATTGTAAACGGCTTAAATTAAGCATAAACAAGCCTGCTCGCTCGTTTTAGTCGCTCAAAATTGGACAAAAAATTAAAAACTTTCGGTTTTGCTCGACACTGGGAAATTTTTTGGTTTTTTTTAATGTGGTTCAGATCACGACTGAAAGGATTTTCATAAGATATATCACTCGACCCAATACGATGATTAATTGTGATATCTGAAATTTGCGTGGAAAATAAAAAGTTGAGAATACCTGAATAAAAAGTTTCTCCCCATTTTCAATTATTGGAACAAAAAGAACCGTGGTGTGATTTTTTTTGTGCTGCTTATGGTTTCAACTAAAACCTTTTATCTCGAAAACTTAAAATGCGTAGATTCTGAGGCTTTTTGGTCGATGTCTAAATTTTGACTCGAACTCAACTCAAGAGTAAGCCTGACAAGTATTGTGTGAAGTTTTAAAATATTTTTGAGATTGGTTTCGTTTTTTCTTGCTTTTCAAAGCTTTTTTCATGTTCATGAGTCGGTGAACGTGTAATTTTTCAAATTTCATCACTCGAAACGCTTGCGGAGCGAACTTGTTAAGGTTCAATGAACGTAGTGTAGATTCTTTTATAGGGCGTGATGCTTTTTTCAAGAAAAGTCTAAAAGTAATTACGCGCACATTTAATTTTTTACTGTTTAACTTTTGATTGCTCAAGGTCAGTTCGTTTCGTTTTTTTTTTCAAATTAAAGGCGAACTCTTCTATCGAACAACATTTAAAAGGTTACTCGAAACGTGATTGACTTTTAGTTTCGAAAATGGAATTTAGTTTTGGGAATTCCTCGGACTTTTACTTAAAAGTCGATTTCTCAAAAAACAGTCCGTTTTTTTTCCTGCATCCTTGCGTTTATTAATTCTTTTTCATCTTTCTATTGGCTATGTTTTTGACTGTTCATAAAGTGCAGCTTCTCACGTGTCATTTTTAAAATTCAATCGCACAAATAGTCTTCATTCGGTATGAAAGAATGTATAACGAGCTTATTGTCTTGGACTAAAGACCTTGGAATTTACAAAATCTATCGTAACACAGGGATTCAATGGAAAATATGAGAAGTTAAGTAATCTTCATGTGTATTGTACTCTTTAAGAGCTTTTACTGAAATTTTCAATTTAAAGGGCTTGCAAAGCGAACTTGTTAAGGTTCGATGAACGTAGTGTAGACTCTTTTACAGGTCGTGATGCTTTTTTCAGGAAAATTAAATGTAATTACGCTTAAATTTTTTTTTGTTCAATTTTTGATTTTTCAAGGTCTGTTAATTTCGTTTTTTCTAAAAGAAATGCGAACTCTTCTATCGAACAACAGATAAAAGGTCACGCGAAACGTGATTGACTTCTAGTTTTGAAAATGTGATTTAATTTTCGGAATTCCTCGGACTTTTACTGAAAAGTCGATTTTCCAAAAAAAAAACAGTCCGTTTTTTTAATGTCTCCTTCCGTTTATTGATTCTTTTCCATCCTTCTATTGGCTATGTTTTTGACTGTTCAGAAAGTGCTGCTTCTCACGTGTCATTTTTTATTCAAGCGTACAAAAAGTCTTCTTTCGGGATGAAGGAATGTATAACTAGCTTATTGTATTGGACTAAAAACCTTGGAGTTTACACATTTTATCGTAACACAGGGATCCAATGGAAAATATGAGAAGTTAAGTACTCTTCATGTGTATTGTACTCTTAAAGAGCTTTTACTGAAATATTCAATTTAAAGGGCTTCAGCTTGAGACTGCCACTTATTAATTGATAGTTCATGTTAAAGGATCTTCCGAGGGCTGGGTAATTGAAATGATAGACATTTGAGATGACATTAAAAGACATGTAGGGTGCTGATTTAATAACAGTCGAAAAATCGCATACAAAAAAGGTTGCTCGGCGCGAGTGGTACATTTTGCTCGAATATGTATTTGCCGCCAAATATATTTTTTAGTGTAAGAAGTACATAAAAGCATAAAACTATTTAGCTTATTTGTACTTTCTGCAAATTGAACTTGGTAAATTCTTTTGTACCTAATTTTATTTCAAGGGGTTTGTCTTGTTTTGAATGCCTGTTTACTTCATTACCGGTCCTCGTTCTGTTAACAGTTCTTTCTAATCAAGTTGGAAGTTAACACTTGTTGATGGGAGTGGGTTTCGTCTTAAAGTTAAAAACGAAATTATTGAATTGGCACATGCTTTTCCAAATACTGTCTTTGTTATTAACCTGCAAAAAATAACGAATATTAGTTTGGGGGGATTAACACGAGTGGTTCACTGAGATCAAGAACGAATGCGATATTATGCAAAATGTAATTTCGAAAGTATTCTTTCCTTTTTAAACTTCATGTGTTTTTTCGATACACTAGTTTTTTGTGTGTCATTTATTTTTTGTCTCCCTAAGTTTTCTGCATCTGCACGCTGGCTTTTAAGCATTTTTTCGATCACGAAAATCTATGAGCAACCTAAAGACGTGCATCTCCAAGTTTTACACTCGGCGTCGAATGCTTCGCAAACTAGAATTCGTTTGAAAAATAGAATATGGGATAAAAGGGTGATGGTGAAAAATGGGATTTCATTTGTCTGGAAAAATAAGAGAAGGACACTTGCATGATATAAGTTTTGGTTGTCAGTTTTAATTGGGGGGATTAGATGCAACTGATTTTTGGCAATATTTGTCGCCAATGGTATTTTAATCAGCTTTCAAAGACAGATCTGATGATTTACATCTTTTTGTGTTTTTCAGCTCTGTGTGGAGAAACTGAAGATTCTGATTGAAGACAATGATCAAAACTGTAAGTTAATTCATCTTATACTGTACGAATAGTGTGCCGGATAACTGTGTTAAAGCTCATTTCGGCTGTAATATTTCACACACAGAGACCCGTAAATAATGTGGAGCAAAGTGTATGCGGGTGCAGTATTTTCTTCTTAGTCTGCACCTAAGAAATAATTGTGATATTTAATCTTTAAGATTTAGATTTTGTCCTAATCCGATACTGCAGTTGCTGCACGTAATTGGGGTGGTCGGAACGGTATCTCGAAATTTGTATGCCCGACGGAACTGTCTCAGAAAAAAATTCCACGATGAAATTCCTAAACACTTTTGAAGCAAGTAAGGTTCAAACTAAATGTACCCAAATTACAGACTGGGTTTTAAAAAACGTATGGTCGCAATGTACCAACCAAAAGGTCTTTTCTGAATGAGTAACATAATTAATATGAAATGTCTTGCGTGAATGTAACACATGGAAACTAAAATAATATTTTCAGACTAAATTATTTCATTGTGTAATAATTGGATCATCCTCGTGAGATTTCAACATTAATTCGTCTTTGTGTTTTGCGTAGCTTTTTTTATTTTCCCATGTTTAGACAAAGAATCATTTATTGATTGTGAAAATATTGAACACAGTACCAGTTAGTCAAGTATCCCTAGCCCTCTTTTTCTGTTGAAAGTTTCGTATATTCTGTTCACAAATGGCGTGTTAAAACTTCAACGGGATCCCTTGGAGTCTTATTTTGTATTCACTCCCTTGTGGAATTTTGAATAACTTTGGATCTATCACCCCATGTCGGGTTTAATAGTTGAACCAGTTAAGAGAGGGGCGGTCTATGATTTTCACGAGAAGGATTTCAAAATTGGCTTTGTTCTAGGTCGGCCCAATTTGCTGAATGCTTACTAAGTATATATTGGTGTATATATTTTTGATCATATTCCAAAAAAAAAACCTAGAGAAAAGTTCTTTATTGAAATTAAAGGATCATGTGTTGTGTTGCAGTAAAGTACTTGGGTTTGCTGGCTATGGGAAACATTCTGAAGACGCACCCGAAGAGCATCCAGCCTCTGAAGGACCTGGTACTGTCGTGCCTGGACGACAAGGACGAATCAATCCGGTTCAGAGCTCTGGATCTTCTCTATGGAATGGTGGGTTAATGGTCCTTCAATGGTATTCAATTCTTACAACAAACTAATTGCAAGATTCCCGCGAAGTAGGAGAGATTTTATTTACGTTTGTGAGACTATGTGTGTCATGCTAATCCTTTTCAGGAATAGAGCGAATATTTTCAGTGGGCGCATCCAGTGCGCTTGACACGAAGAACATAATTAATAGCCTCAAGTTTTCAGATTAACAAGAAGAATCTGATGGAGATTGTGAAGAAGTTAATGTCGCACATTGAGAAGGCGGAGGGTACTCAGTACAGGGATGAGCTGCTGAGCAAGGTCATCGAAGTGTGTTCACATGAGAACTACAAAAACATCACCAACTTCGAGTGGTTAGCTGCTGTTGATATTAGCAATTCTATTACAGCTCTTTTCTTCCATAGTGCTTGATATGTTTGCATTTGCTAAATGGCAGGAAAATTCCGCTCTTAATTAACAAAATTGACGGGAAAAATGGATGACTTGAAACATCGAAATTTTGGAACAAATTTAATTTTTAAAATGACCAGTGAAATTAGAAAATTATCTGCTTATCCAGTTTTCTCAAATTTGCTTTGTTCTATCATATAAAATGTGTCAACACTAAAAGTAATTGATTACTCGTGCGATAAGCAAGGGTATTGCAACCGGGTACTTGACTTTTCCCCGTAAACAACTTGTCCACAGGACTCGTCTGGACTCATATCTACCTTGATTCATAATGCATTCAGATTTGTTAGCGTTCCTGGCCAACTTAACCTGCTGAAGGTAACGAATATTCCTGGGACGGCAAAGGTCCTAGGTGCGAGTCTGACCAGGATCTGTTTTTTTTTTTTCAAACTGGAAATATTCTGTTTAAAAAAAAATTGTCGGCCAATTATTTGTCTGATCATCTGTTGCCGTCTTAATTGTCACATCTTGGAATTGTCTACGCGCACTTTTTAATGTTGCTTTTAGTAATTGATTTACGCCTACATTTTGTGTTTTTACTTACTTGACTTAATATTTCTTTCGTTTTTTGTTTCGTTAAAAAAATTCCTCGGCTAAAATTGTTTCGGCCTATTTTTTCATCAGCTTGATCACCAAATTTTGGGACGTTTCAAGATCAACCCAGTTTTAGCGCTCCCCTTCGCACTTTTTAACTTGTTTGTATGTTTATCAACCTGTTTGATGAAATTTCTTTTGTTTCGTTTTGGAAAATTTTTTTCACATTTTGCAAAAATTTTAGTTTTTCTCAGAAATTCTCCTGATTTTCAAAAAAGGAGTATCAATTGAAAGACCGCTTATTCGTCTATTTGCCTACTTACTTAAAAAAAAATTAAACCCCTCTCTACAACCTTCGAAAAAGTGTGGGGGAATATTTGACCTCATATTTTTGATTTTTTTCGTTTTCTCGTAAACTACCTGTCTCAAATGTGAGTTTTTGGTTTCAATGGACAGAACATTTTGAAAAATCCCCTGCAGAATGGGCTACGACCTTTTTTTGCACATAAAGTTATGGCCCTCGGAATTATCAAATTTTTAATTTTTGACCGTTTTGTTGATCTTTTCGATTTTTCTCGAAAAATAACCTTTCAAATTTAATATTGTGAGTTCAATGAGATAAAGGAGGTAGTGGGAAACTCCTATGTCTTAGCGGATACTAACAAAAAGTTTTGCACAAGAAGTTATTGCCCTTTGAAACGTCAATTTTTTGATTTTTTGACCGTTTTTTAAAATTTTTAAGAGTTCTCGAAAACTACTCTGCTATCTGGGATTTTGGTTTCAATTCTCAGGACGGGCTTCGGAAAAATCATTTGCTTATGCAACTACGCCCAATTTTTTTGACTAAAAAGTTTTGGCCCTCAGAAAAATATAATTTTTAATTTTGTGACCGTTTTTCTTAAAAGTTTTTGAATTTTTTTACTCGAAAACTACCCTAGTAAATCTGAGATTTTGGTTTCAATTGGAGTTACAGATTGCTTGTCCCTCCTTTGTAAGAGAAATGTTATCTCCTTGGGAAAATCGATTATCTCAAAATTTTGTTTTCCTACTCAAGTTTGTAGAGAAACAACTAAGGTCTTAGGCAAAGTCCAATTTTTGAAATCACACTTTTGATGACGCATCAGTGTAGCAAATCATTCAATGTTAAACTCGTAATTCCGGCTTTAGCTGGGTCTGTAGTTGTTTTTATTGAGACTTATGAAAAATTGTGTTCACTTAGTTTTCATCATCTAATTTTTTATATTTGAGTTTTAATATTTGTGTAGAAAAAAGCCAGCAAAATAAATTGAGTTTATTTCTTAAGAGCCATCAACGTATTGAATATTCTTACATAAGTCTTGGTGCTTTTGTTTTTTTTAAGGAAAAAATCTTACAATTTGTTTACGTTAAAGTTTGATTTTTCGTGGTTTGACTTTTGGTTTCTTATTGAATTCATTTCGTTTCCTTTGTTGAAAGGAATGAAAACTCCACCATCGAACAGCAAAAGCTTAAAGGTAACAAAAAATTTGATCGACTTCTAATTTCGAAAATAGGAATTAATTATCTGATTTCCCAGCGAAATAAAAGTTTAACTTATTGATCCAATTTTCTCAAATTGGGTTAGTTTAGCAAAAACGTGTCCATCATAAGTTTTTTCTTCTTTTTTTTTCTAGCTTTATCCATTTTGATAGGTCTAGTTTTTTGAAATTTTTGAATTTTTTTTGGATTTTTTTGCGGCTTTCTTGTATTGTCTCTTCTCTTCTGTGCAATAAATTTATAATAATTTGTTTGCAATTCAAGTTCATTCGCTGTCATCTTCAAGGCCATATATCTTTTTCCTTTGAAATTTTAAAGTTGAATTTTTTTTCAGAAAACACAAGTCAGTTTTTTTATCTGTTTTCTTCATTCATTGACTCTTCCAATTCTTGTTTATGTTGTCTCTCTTTTTAAAAAGTTTTAGCCAAATTGTTGCTCCAATTTGTCCTATATGTCGTTTGTGGTGATTGGCTTTTGTCAGGAAACTTTCAAGATCTAGCTTTTGAATGATTTTGCTGAAGTGTTCCTCAATTTGGTCCCAGGTTCATTTTTTACTGATTCATAGTTCTGCTTGCGGAAGCCACAGCTGATATAAGTATCTTAATCTGTCATTTCCTAATTTGAATTGTTTCCTTTATTGTAGTAAACTTCCGAAAATTGTTATTAAAATTGATGCATATTTAAGTTTCCAGAATGTTTTAAGTCACATTAATCGTGATTCCGAAACTTTAATTTTTCTTTACAAATGTCGAGAAACATCGGATTGGATTTGTTGTTATTCAATCAATTTCGAGCTAGTAGGTCTTGACAGGACAAAACTTTTTCTTAAAGCCGTGAAAAAAAATTTGCTCAAGAAAGATTAGTACTCGAAGGCTTTTGACCGCTTTTTCTTGGCAATAAAAAATATTTAAGAATCGAAAAATTATTTTGCAAAATTTTTGAAAAAGTTTGGATTCCTTCCATCACAGCTCGTAGAAAAAACTACACCAAAATTTTTTTCTTTTGATCTGAAAAATGGAGAGGAACTTGAGTATTCGGTTTTGTAGTTTACTTTCTTTTTTGTTCCGTTCGAAAGTGAGGAGGAACTTTGTATTCGGGTGTGTTTTAGTTTTTCTTTTTGTTTTCCATGCAAAATCAGGTACCACAAACAATCCTCGGACTGGGTTGAGTGATATATCATATAAAAGCCGATACAGTCGTGATTCGAAGCACATTTAAAAATTTCACATTGTCGAGAAAGAAAACCGGTTTGAAATTTTTGTTTTTTCGTCTTATTTCGAGCGAATAAAGAGAGCGAGCGGTCTTATTTTAATTTCTGGAAAGCTTACAATAGCGTAATTTAAAACGCTAAAACATAGTTTTTCTTGGTTAACTTCAGTTTACTTTGAGTATTTTCGCGCCTTTGATCATTTTTTTTTTTCGTTTTGTAATTTTTTTTTACAAAAACTGTTTTTCAGTTTGCTTTTTTTAGTACGGCCGTCGAATATACCTAATCCCCAGTTTTTTTTGTTCAGATTCTTTTATCGCACCACGCAGAATAAAACGACACTAATTTGAAAAAAAATCTTCTTTTTTTTAAGACTATGGTCGGAACTTTCTGTGCTATTTGCTCAGGAACCGGCTTTCCTTGAATTTTTTTTTCTTCTTCCCCACGCAAAATCAGGTATCAGAACTAATTAACGGAAGCTCTGTGCAAATCTCAATCATATCGTATTTAAGCACGTTGCCAAACTTTTTACCAAGTTTTTTTTCAGTGGCGAGAAAAATTGAATTCAAACTTTTGCATTTCATCATTTTTATTGGCGCGAAACCAAGGCAGGTCAATCAAGGCATTGTTTTATTTGATACTTAAGCTTAATGAGAATTGTTAGTATCTAGTTTGAAATCTTCATTTTACCCTGTCTCATGCCTCGTGTCTATAGTAACAAAAAATAACAAAGCGGATGTTGTAAAAAAAAAGAGTTTTCTCAGTGTACCGTAATTATAAGGTGGATTATATGTAGTTATGTTTTGATTTAGGTACATTAGCATCCTGGTGGAGCTGACGAAGATGGAGGGTACTAGACATGGGAGGCTGATCTCTGCCCAGATGCTGGATGTGGCTGTCAGGGTCAGGTCCATCAGACAGTATGCTGTCACTCAAATGGTGCGGACTTTTTACGCACAAATTTCAATTAAATCTCGTTGCCTAAGTCATTTTGATTCAGTTAGTTGACGCAGGGTTCATAATTTGGCCAAAGTTTTTGATGAATTTAAAACATATATGGTTCGGTTAACTGCCATCGAGAAAGTTGAGCATGATCAGCTTATACACAGTGAATTTTAGGTTCCCCTGAGCAAGCGCTTCCCAAAATTGGCTTTTTCTTGTTTTTTTTTCTTCAAATAATTGTTTTTACCGAGTCGTTTGATAAAAGGATTTGACAAAACCGACAATTTAGACATATTCGACAGTCATATTAAATTAAGCAAATCGGGCAACTTTTTTAATCGACAAAAGACAAAAAAAATCAAATTTCAAAAAAGTTGTCTACAATTTTTTTTCGAAGAAATTCGTTCGAAATTTTGTGATTTTTTTTATTTCAAAGATGGCGCTAAAAAAACTTCGAAAAAAAATTTTACTGGAGTTAACTAAAGTTTCATGGCTTTTTTCTATAATAAGTTTGCTCGCTTGCTTTACTCGCTCGAAGTTCGACAAAAAATTTTCTCGACACTGGGACAAATTATTTTCGAATTTTTATAATTTTCGAACCAGGGCTGAAAAGGATTTTATGTATATCACTTCGCCCAATAAGATAATTATTTGCGGTAAATACTTATAGTAGAAAAACAAATAAAGCCTGCTCGCTCACCTCATTCGCTCGAAATTCGACCAAAAATCAAAAATGTCAAACTGGTTTTTCTCGACATTGGGAATTTTTTTGAATGTTTTTAATGTCGTTCGAATCACAACTGAAAAGGCTTTAGTTTGATATATCGCTCGACCCATTGCGATGATTATTTGTGGTAGCTGGTTTTGCGTGAAAAACAAAAAGAGGAAAAAGCTGAAACACACCCGAGTACAAAGTTCCTCCCTATTGTCAATGGCCGGAACAAAAACGTAGGAGTGGGGGGGGGGGGGGTCGGAAAAAATGGAATAACGGCAGTTGTGTAAGAGTTAAACGTAATTTGTTGCTGACTGGTAGCTGCGAGAGAAACGTAATTGGTAGCTAGTCTTTTAGGCAGCCAGTAGATTCATCATGCCTATTATGATGACTAGGCTTATATGATTAGGCTTAGATTAGGCACTTTGTTGGTTGATTAAGAGTAATGAACGTAGTGAAGACTCTTATATAGGTCTTGCTTTTTCTTTTTTTTTCAGGAAAAAGTCTTATGGACTTATTTATATATGCACTTTTTGAGTTCAATTGAAATTCATCTGCTGAAAGTGACGCAAATAGCACTCCCCAAATACGAACGTGCAAATGGCGCGAAAAAACGTGAACGATTTCTAGTTTTGAAAGTGGAATTTAATTTTCAGATTTCCGATTGATCCAGTTTTCTCTAGTTGGGTTAAAGTTATCAAAAAAGCGCTAATCATAAATCGTTCTAGAAATGCAAAGAGCTGAAAGGGCATCTATTTTTTCTTTGAAATTCGAAAGTTGAGAATTTTTCAACTAAGTCAGTGTTTTTTGTTCACTTGCGTTCATTACTCTTTTCCAATTTTTCGATTGACTTGGCTAAATTGTTGCATTATTAATCCAGTGCTGCCAATATTTCTTGTTCAGGCGCTATTGGTGGAAAACAACAACCTTCTGAGTGGTGCAATCAGACGCAATGGTATATCGGAGGTGCTCTATGCTGCCGGGTGGATAGCGGGGGAGTTCAACATCTTCCTCTCGGACCCCAAGACCACGCTGATGGCCATGTTAAGAGAGAGGGTGGTGGAACTGCCTGCCAACGTACAGGCAGTGTATGTCCAGAATGCTCTCAAGGTTAGCCTCATTTCTATTGATTTTTACACAAGCGAAGGCCGCTAAAATTTTAAAGCAGAAATGGATTATTGTCATGTGCATTTGAGTTTTTCGGCTTTTGCGTACTTGTGGTTTGAATTTTACAGACACTGTAAACATTCAAAGCATCTCTAGTAGTTAAAATTAGCCTTTTGTTGCACAAGTAAAAGCCTGTGTTGTGTTACTAGTTCTTATTTTAATTGCTACCTGATCTATGCAGTGCTCATCTGCTTCATCCGCATTTATTGGTGACTGGTGTTTGGAAGTAAGCAAGATCATGTGGTGCAATTATCAAGATATTTTCAGAGCCTGTTTTCTCTTTTTCGTTTCAATTTGAAAGCTCCTTTTTGCTAGTGTTTGCGAAAAACTGCTTCGCCGTTACGACTAAATTTTATATTTTGCCGTTTACGACTAAATTTTACGTGCAAGCGAAAATTAGTGCGATAGAACTTCACCTGTGGGATGGAAAAATTGGTATTTTATTGTGTCAAATCTGTGTCAACCCTATAAAACTATAATGCAAATTGGAAATCAACTTCCAACGAACAGTAAAGAGCTTCGAAAGTCTATTGCTCTATAAAAAGATGTCATTTTGGCCCTTGATTAGTTGCGTTCTATGAAATTCTAAAAACTTGAAGGTCATTTATTTTTTCTTTGAAATTTGAAAATTGATTTTTTTTGTACAAAAAAAAACAAATTATTTTTGTTGTTTCCTTGCGTTCATTGACTCTTTCCAAATGTCTGGTGGCTATGTTTTAGGTTGTTTAGGGAGCAACCTGAGTTGAATTGTATCGCGTAAATTGACTCATCTTCTCTTGTACTGTGAACTCAGGCCATGAGCTGAACTGTAATTGTTTTCTTTAGCTGTACTCAAAGCAGATGAGAGATATGCGCGGCAAGATAGGAGGCAGTGAGAATGAGGAGCAAGAGGAAGAAGCTGATGCGACTGAGTCTGCCGGGAGATCAGCAGAGGTCAAGCAGGAGATGAAAGAGTTGACGAAGAGTGTGTTGGAGAAGCTGCCACAGTTCGCCAACAGTCCCCATATGGAGGTCCAGGAAAGGGTAAGGGTCAATTGTTTCAATTGTTTTTCCCTGGCATCACTCATTATTTTCCTTGAAGTTTGACGATAGTGGAAAAACTTATTCATATTGATGATAATCGATATTTTGTTTTTTGTTCCGCAAAATTTTTTTTGAACATCATATCAATGAGTTATTACCCTTGCAATAGCAAGGGTATTGCAATCGGATACTAGACGTTTTCCCCATAAACAACTTGTCCACAGGACTCACTTCTGGACTCCTTCACAAATCCTTTTGCAAATCCTCTTGGTTGCCTGGTTGAGCAATATTAAGCATGGTTGAGTGTGGTATTTTCGATTAAGTTTTATTTTTTGTAATTTTTGCGGCTTAATAGGCAAGGGCCTATTTTTCATCGGCTTACTGGCCTATTTTCGAGTGGTTTCAAGAGAAACATAGTTTTCATGCTCACCTCTGGATCGCACAAAATGCTGAAAATCTTCATAGAAATTATAGTTCAAGTTTTCTTGACAACAAATTTTTTTGGCTCTTTTATTTTTTTTTCGTCTTGATAAGTTTCGGCCTATATTATATCGGTTTAATGGCCGCATATTGCGCCTTTTGAAGGGCAGAAAAAGTTAATGTGTGCGTGTTTGTCTTTGGAGGCGGAGGGGGACTTAATAACTTTTTAGTAGTCTTAAATTAGTTTTTTTTTTCGGCTTTTTTTCTTTTTCGGGTTAATAGGCTTCGACCAATATTGTATCGGTATATTGTCTGCATATTATTTCATTTGACGCGTGAATAAAGTTTGTGTGCGTGTGTGTGTGTGTTGGTTGGTTTGTTTGATGGTGTGGACCACTTGATAATTAAAAAAAAAATTTGGCCTGAAGGTATTTCCGGCTTTGTTACCGCGTGATAACTTTTCTTTCGATGCTAGGTTCACATTCTATTGTCTTGGCTCGGTGTTTTTCAAACCTAGCCTTATTGATTGATCTAGCCTGAAATTTTTGCCTTTTTTTCAACTTTGCGGCTTGCGTGTTTTGTATCGCAAGTGGTGCGAAGCAAAGCTTCGCCTCTGTGTAAAGAACTCGGTTCACTGTATTTTCATTAAGTAAGCGCAAAAGCCTGAATACGCTAGCGAACAGCTAGTGCTTTAGTAAGAACCTTCTTTTTTTTCTAATCTAACTCGCTAATAAAAGTGTTTAGTAAATGTGTTGACTTGTGTTCCTCTTTGCTATAATCATGATCTGTAGCATTAGAAAATTCGTAGCATCTGTTCTCGGCTTTTTTGTGGCTAGTGTTTGTGATGGACGTGGCTGAGTGGTTAGTGCGTGAGACTCATAATTTCGAGGTTGCAGCAAGTCGTAGGTTTGAGTCCGTGACACCGAATTTTTAATAATTCGAGGCTTATTTTTACTTTTTCTTTTTTTTAGAACTCTACAGCTGCTTTTTGTCGTGTTCTCGCTAGTGTTTGCGAAGCGCAGCCTCACCTCTGTGTTAGATTAATTTTAAGAGTCATGTACGTAGTTAGTACTTTTAAATAGGTCTTTGTGATTTTTTAAAGACTCGTGAACGTAGTGAGTATGGTGATTTTTTTTTCAGGAAAAAGTCTTGTTTGTTTACGCTCAATTTTGATTTTTCGCAGTTTGACTTGTTTTTTTTTTAGTTTAGTGCATTTCCATTGTTAAAAAAAGCAAACTCCAATATCGAACAGCAAATGTGTAAAGGTCACGAAAAACGTGATCGACTTCTAATTTCGAAAAAGGAAATTAATTATCAGATTTCCCTGCGAAGTAAAAATTTCACCCATTGATCCAGTTTTCTCAAAAACGTGATCGACTTCTAATTTCGAAAAAGGAAGTTAATTATCAGATTTCTCTGCGAAGTAAAAGTTTAACCTTTTGATCCAGTTTTCTCAATTTGGGTTAATTTTAACAAAAAAGTGTCCATCATAAATTGCTCTACAATTTCAAAGAGTTTCAGGACATCTGTTTTTTCTTCGAAATTCAAAAGTTGAAGGTTATTGAAAAAACAAGTCTGCTTTTTTTTAGTTTCCTTGCGTTTATTACTCTTTTCCAACCGTCAGTTGGCTATGTTTTTAAATTTGTTTCTTTAAAAGGAAAGCAAACTCCAGTATCCAACAGCAAAATTACCAATGACACATGAAAAACGTGATCGGCTTCTAGTTTCGAGAGGATTTCCTAGCGGAATAAAAACCTCACCTATTAATCCAGTTTCGTCAAATTTGACTTGGGTTAATTTTCTCAAGAAAAGTGTAATTCATAATTTTTTTTCTGAAATTCAGATAGTTTTAAGCTCATATAATTTTTCTTTGAAATTCGAAAGTTGTTTTTTTTTTGCTGAAAAAATAAGTCAGTAATTTTGTTTCCTTGCGTTCATTGAATCTTTTGCAACTGTCTGTTGGCTATGTTGTAATTGTCTTCTGATTTGTACTCTAAACTTGACAGGAATTGAAGATGTTTAGGTGCGCCTTACACTCACACAACATAGACATTGGGTTTGTCTGTTTGTAGGCGTGCGTGGCGCTGCAGATCCTTCGCTATATTGAGAGGTATATTGACAAAGACGATGAGATAGTAGAAGACTTCCGACTCCTGTTCGCAGAGGATCTCAACCCAGTAGCCCCCAAGGCACAGCGAAAGGTATATTACTGTGTGCATATTGTTTTTGTTCTTGTTTGTTATATATACGTCTTTAATATTGAGCATTGAATGGCAGTACTCGGGTGTAGATAGTTTTCTGGTTTTCTCAACTGTGGGTTTTTTACCAGTCTATGCAGCTGCAATTGCACTGCGCCTTGTTTTATTAGGCAAACTCATAAATTAGAGATATCAATATTAACTTCGTTCAAGTACTTAAGATTGCTATGTGAATTTCATTCAAAAACTACTTGAAAGAAGACTACCCGTTGAAACTTGAAAGATAGCAGGAAAGAAGTTCAAACTTGAATGTTTTTTTTTTTCAAAAAGCATCGTCTCATGATGGTAGGACCCACTATTATTTTGCCAGTTATGTAGGATCGTTTGGTTCTTTATGGGAGTCTTTGATTTCAAACTGTCGAACCGGCTTAGGCTGGGCTGGGCCAGGTTCTATAGTCTCCTGTAGCTCACGACAATTTTCTATATTGTTGGCTAGTTTGTATGGTTTTTCTAATGATCAGGTTCCTGTTCCTCCGGGGCTTGACCTGGACGAGTGGATAAATGCACCTCCCTCAAGCAGCGAGGATGATGATGTGCCGGGAGCTGCCAATACATTCGTGGATGACAGACACTACGGCAGTTCATTGGGCAATAAGGCAGTGTCCAGTGACCCAACAGTGAGCATCTTCGCCAAACCCAGAGAAGTGTCGGAGCAAGAATTGGCCAGGGTTAGTTCAAGAGCTCAGTAGCTTTTCGTCCGCGCCCGTAACTGTATCGTATAGTGGTGAACATTGAAGGATCCCTCGAAAGGATTCGTAAAAAAACGTTCTCTCTTAAAGGTTAACGCCATCTAAATCGTCGTCACTGTTCTCGTCTGGAGCTAAAAAAAATTTAAGTCTTTTTTTATTGAATAAGATTTAATTATGATAACAGATTATCTTTTTTTATCAGCGCGTACCATCTAATCTTTTGTTCCGACCACTTCGCCAAGTGGGAAGGAACTATGTGCTAGGCATGATTTTTCACAACAATTTCGACTACACTAAAGAAAGCTCGTCAGGGGGTCAAATAACGATATCATATTGATGTACTTTTGGTCATGAATCTGATTCCGATTAAATATTTTTAAATTGTCTGTTTCGAGAAAAATTGGTTTCATTCTCTCATCGCTTTTCGTTTATGTAGAGAGAATGAACTCGCCGTTTATTTATTCTGCAATTTCTAAATTTATTTATTTAATGTTACCTCTCATTTGGCAGATTTTTTAACGTTATTCAATTACTCTTTTCCTTAAAAAAGACGAGAGAAATTTGCGCAAAAAAATGGTAAAAATGTGTTGTTTTTAAATGTTTTCATATTTTTTTCTTCTGTTTTTTTGATTTAGTATTCGATGCTTGTGGTGGAAAAACTTTTTTTGTGCCGCTTGCGCAGAAATGGTAATCCTTTTCTGAATGTGGAAAAGATGCGTGAATTGTTTTAAGGTGCGCGAGGAGCGAGAGAAGTATGTTTCGAACAACATGTACTACTTGAAGAGTTCAAATGCCAGCAGCAAGAACAGTTCTCCTCCAGGGAAAAAGCCGCACTCAAGTAAACAACAGCAGGAAGCTTCTTCGGTGCCATCCGAAATAGACTTGAAGCTGGAGATACCAGGTTATTATACTTGAACACTGGGACTTTATTCTGACTTCTCTGAATCTCAGACAATCTTAGCCAATCTGTGAAGCTGAAATGTTGTCGCAATGGAGGAAATTTGAGTCGTGATCCTGACTGGAGACAGATTATTAGAATGTCAAAAGCTTAAAAGAGAAGACGTAGGGTTTTTAAACAGAAATCATAAGCGGAAGCCAAAAATGATGTCAACCAATCGATATGAAGTCAAAGTGGTTAGAATACAAATATTGAGTTGTGCTCCATTTTTATAGTTAATCACAAATTCGTCAAGGTTTTCTTGGGTTAATCTGGAAATTTTGAAGGATTTTCGCTGACGGAAGCAGAGAAGAAGGCGATGAAGAAGAACAAAAAGCGCATGAAGGGCAAGAAGAGTCGTTCGGGTGCGGGGGGAGACGAAGGCGGCGTGGATTCAGAGGGGGGACTGTACGACAGTGACGGGGCTGGAGGAGGACCAGTGGTGGATATTGTGGCTGAGGACATGCCTGAGGGGGCGTTGCCAAGCGACGAGGAAGACAAAGGAAGACATGCCAATGATCCGCACAGATTGCTCGACTTTGAACTTGAAAGCTTGTATGTCAATGTTATCATATACATCTTTTCATTAATTTTGAATGATGAACGTTTTTGGTTGAACCCAATCTAGATTTTTTTGGACAATCGATAGGAGTTTGTTTGCAATTTTGAACGCATGGGACGACAAAGGAAGCAGAGAAGGAAGCAATTTTGAACGCATCTGCTTCACCACCTATGTGTAACTCGATTTTTAAAGTATTCTCCTTTGTTCAAAGTTGGAATATAACTTCCTGATTGAAGCAAAACAAACATAGATAAAATTTATTGCAAAAAACTAGTGTATTGATGTTGGAATCACTCTTAAAGAGCTTTACTGCGCTCAATCATGCTGGGATTGGAAATTGAACAAAATAAGCCATTCACGAGGGCCATAATCGAGACAATAAATTGTTAAATCGGTTATTTTTGCAAAAAGAGCCTGAGTTGTAAAGAGAAGAGTTGCTTTAGAACTCCTTTCGACGACAAGACGGACAAGAACAAGAAGAAAAAGAAACAAGATGAGAAAGTGGAGGAGACTGTGAGTGCAAGTGGAGAGAACAAGAAGAAAAAGTCAGACAAGAAGTCCGAAAAGGAGAAGGAAAAAGACAAGGTCAGTCTAAAAGTCGTTTTTTTTTGTGTAAAGTATCGAGTAATCTGATGTAAAGCGGGTTGTTCTGGTCCATTTGCCTCGATACAATTTCGCTGGCATGAGCATGCCTTTAGTTTTAGGACTAAGTGCTGTTTCAAAATCTAAATTAATTGTTAGCAAGTGTTTGATGAAATCCTACTCAACTCGTTCGGTATGTTTTTCAGAATAAAAAGTAATGATATCAAAAACGATCACCATTATAACCTGGCTTATAATGTTGTTTGGAGGGTTGGAAAAGAACTATTCAATTTCAGGCGGAAACCTTGACTAGTAAAAAGAAGAAGACTAAAGAGGCGAAGCCAGTCAAAGAAGAACCACAAGAAGAGGAGATCCATGTTATTTCATCCAAGAAAAGCAGCAGCAAATCCGGGAAAACTAAAGAAAAAACCGGAAAAGAGAAGAAAAGCAGTAAGAAGGGGACTGTAGTCGGCGAGGGAGATGAGCCCCATGTAGTGGAGGGTAAGAAGGAAAAGGGGTCTCCAGGTGCAGTGGGTGGGGACGAAAAAGGAGAGAAAAAGGAAAAGGGAAAGAAGAAGAAATTGCTGAAGGAAATTGCCAATGATGAGGCATCCGCGGTATGTATGAAATATATAAAACGTTAATTTGTAGTAAAAAGATGAATCCATTTTCATAAATTTGAATCTTAGCTAGTTTTGATGACTGTTTGAGCCTCAATGTTCAGTTTGTTGACATTTTGAAGCGAAGGCGTACAGTTGACCTCTAAATTGAAGGATTATGCTTTTAAAATGCTAATTTTGTGTGTTCAGCCTGGTACTGGAGGTAACGAACAGCAGCTGCTGAGTGTGAACCTCATAGACGGATTCTCGTCAACTGTCTCCTCTCACTCACTAGTGGATGTGGCAGCTAACGGAGACCTCAATAAGAGCCAGGCTAGTCACTCCTCGCTTCATCAGATCTATTTTGAACATGATGATTTGGATCTACTTAACAACCTCCGCCCCTTTCAAGAAAGGGGGGGGGGAGATTGTTAAGTAGATCAAAATGGTCGATTTTTCGACCAATCAGAATGCAGCAAAATCAGAATTCTCAATAGAAAGCTCAGTCTTATTTTACTGTATTTGTTTATAGGCGTGGAGTTTATTAAGTAGGTACCATAGGGGGATTGTTAAATAGATCCGATGATTTTTCAAGCAAAGCTTAAGCAACGAGAAATAATGTTTCAGGCGGAAAATCTTGATTTCTGGCTCGACGGAGATGATCAGGTGAGAAAAAGTGTAAAACAAATTAAGGACATGGACTTCAGACTCTCACATTTTTTTTTAGTTTATCGTACTTTATTTCTCCTAGCGATTAATTTTAAAGCCCATTCTAGTAACGACAAAGGATGTCATTTCGATTGTTGTCGGGAGCCGATTTTTTTTCTCAAATTGAAAAGAATTTTTTTTTGGAAAAAATTAGTCCGACTATCCTATGTCAGCTTATCTCACGCGCTGTTTAGTGTAATAGTACGAAGCAAATTTTTTTCCTACCGAGGCTGCAAAAAAGAGCTACTTTAGGTTGCTTTTTTGAAAGTGCTATGGCTGCTTTGGCACTAATAAAGAAAAAGAAAGAAAAAAAGAAAGAAAAAGTATTATAATTTACAGAAAAGGCAACAAAAGATAGTGCGATGCAAAATCATAAAAAAATCTTGATTTGTAATGAGCTGTAAGTCGGAACTTTTCCAATTTTCCTTTGGTTTTTTGAGAAATACTGCTTCAACCGTCTATTATGATATTTGAAACATTCATGTTTGCTTTAGAGCGGCAATAAAGGAGCTGCTGGAGTCAAAACTCCTTCAGCAGCGGACACTTCAGCAGGCAACCAAGCAGTCGCAGAGAGTGATCTCTATCTGGCACTAGATGGGATCCAACTGTCGCCTGTCACAAACCCCTCAGACATGGCTCTGCCTCTGTTCACGCCTCTAGCTGCAGACAACAAACTCCACATTGTTAGCTTTTTGCGAAAAGTTTGAGATTTTTTACAATGTAAATCTTAAGAATCAATTCAAAAAATGAATTTTTGGACAATATCAAAATGTTTTGTCTCAAGTTTTGCTCAAACAAGCGAGTAAGTTTGACTGTTTTTGAAAAAAAAAACAATTTTTTCCGTAGTTATAAATTGCCTTCAAGTGCGTGTTATTTAGGGAGCGTGATACAACATCGAATATTTAATTTTTATCAAAATGTTTTCAGTATTGTGAATTTGTTTGTGTGCTGCAGGATTACAAGTTGGAAGTTGAGGAAGTGAGTGGAGATGTTTTGTGTGTGGAACTGAAAGTGGCCAACATCTCCTCATCTGAAGCATCCACTGAGTTTATTACTCTGAAGAGTATAGAGTTGACCATCTCGGACGGAGTGAGCATTCATATGCGCCGAATTGTGAGTCACAATTGACGAGAGAAATCATTTTTTTTGTAGTATAATTTTTTGTCATTGAATGATGCGAAGACACCGTTCTTTAAGTTTTTTTTTTCAGGTAAAATTGATAAAACTTGTTCACGCTCAAATTCATTTGCTGAATGGAAAAGAAAAATCTTTTTTGTTTTCTTTTTGTAGATTGAAAAAGAAAAATCTATATTGACCCTGTTTACTCTAATTGGGTTAGTTTTATTAATCAATAGTCATCTACAAAAGAATCCTGGAAACGAAAGAGCTCAAACTTTTTCAGTCTTTGTGTAAGTAAACCAAATTCTGGTAATTTAGGGTTCTTCAGCCCACGAAGCAGTGGTGTTGGCGAAGAAGCTGTTGCCTGGCGAAGAGATCACCCGTAGACTGGAGTACACGTTCAAAGACATCTACTGGCCACAGAAACTCAAGGGCACTGTTACTTACATTGCATCTGTAAGAGGATACTCCTGTCATAACAGCATTTATTGGTGCACAAGCAAACACGAGTGTTATACTACGTGTTCACTTTTCCAAAGATTTTTTTTTACAAAACAGGCAGTTTTTTTTGTTTCCATGCTTTAATTCACTTTTTTCTACTTGTCTGTTGGCTAAATTTGCTTTTTTAAGATTAATGAACATAGTGAAGACACTTGTATAGGTCAGGGCGATTTTTTTTCCAGGAAAATATCTTAAAATTTAATATCGCTCCTTTCTGACTTTTCGCGGTTTGACTTTGATGTCTTTAATTTAAGTTCATTTCCTCTGTTTACACGAGCGTAGCGTAGTTTGATAGTACGGTAGGCAGCATTGGGAGTATAAATACCATTGACATTTGATTACACTTGCGAACTTAAGTGAGCGTTAGTGTAATAGCACGACTATTTTTTTCTAACGACTATTTTTTTAATTCTTTTTTTTTGGTTAATGGTTTCGGCCTACTTCAAATCGGCTTTGTGGCCTTATATTGTTCCATTTGACGGGCGAGTAAAGTGTTCTCATATTGCTTTGTTTGAGTGGTTAATTTAATTTTGTCTCTGTGCTGAGGGTGAGGCTGAGGGGGACGTAACAAAGTCTTTTTTTTCAGCTTAAGGGTTTCGGCCAACGTGTTTTCGGCTTTGTTACTGCTCGGTAAATTTTGTTGTGATGTGAATTTTTGTTTTGGCTTGTTTTCGGTTTTAAAACTAGCTCTATTCATTTTGATAGATCTAGTTTTTTCGACTAAGCGGTTTTCCTGTTTTGTATTGCATGTGGCGCGAAGATCTGTTTGAAGTTTGATCACCAATAATTTGACACAATGAGGCCCTTTAATTCATCTAATGAACCGAAAAGAGCGATGTTCTTCATACCATAGCTTAAGAATGAAAACCAATGTGATATTTGAAATGCATAATTAACACACCATTTCATTTTTTACGTTCGAATATATGTTGCTTTAAGGTTATTTCATTCCAAACAATAAGATGCAAAATTAGTGTAAGTGACCATGTGTAAGCCAGGAGTCCCTGCAAAAATCAAATGTGACAGAGGGGTGACGTATAACTGTATTTTTAAGCAAATACAGCATTTAAAGAACTCAATGGACGCTTCTTGGTAGTTTTAAAGATTTTTTTCTTAAACGTAATTAACTGCCTCGTTTACGGTTATTATAAGATGCTTTAATTGACATCACCGAAGCATTAAGTTCAAAAATGTTGAGGCACTATTTACATAAAGGAACCTGTTTCTTTCTTGCTATCCTTCTATCATACTTGTACCGTACCGGGCATGTTAAAACTCCTTTTTGCCGCTTTTTCTTACGTTTTTACGAAGTTGCAGCTTGCCTCTGTGAAGAAAGTGTGCTAACTACTTAAGGAAGCGAGGTGATATGGCGCAGTTGACTCGTCTCATAGATGTGCGTCTTAGGGGCGTGAGGAATCCTGTTGTCGGCTTTTTTTCAAAGCTCTCTTTTCAGCGTTGTTTTGTTTGTGTTTGCGTCTTGCAGCTTCACCTCTGTGTGAAATTTTAAGATGTCGGTTACATGGGGAAATAAATGAACTTTTCTTTAACATAATAATATTTATACGGATCGATCGACATACGGTTTTCTTCAATTCGCGTTAAATGAAGAGTGCTTTACACTGATTAAGAGTAATGAACGTAGTGAGTACTCTTATATAGGTCTTGCTGATTTTGTTTTTTTTTCAGGAAAAAGCCTTAAATTTTGTTCACGCTCAATTTTTATTTTTCGCGGCTTGACTTGTGATTTCTTTTCAATTTCAGTGCATTTCTATTGTTCAAAAGAAGGCAAAATCCACTACCGAACAGCAAAAGTGTAAAGGTCACAAAAAACGAATTGGAAATTAATTATCAGATTTCCCAGCTAATTAAAAGTTTTGCCTATTGATCCAGTTATCTCAAATTGGGTTAATTTTAACAAAAAGTGTCCATCATAAATTGTTCTACAAATTCAAAGAGCTTTAAGGCCATCTATTTCTTCAAAAGTTGAAGGTTTTTGGAAAAACGAATCAGTTTCTTTGCGTTCATTACTCTTTTCCAACTGTCAGTTGGCTATGTTTAATATTGACGCTAATGCATTTGTTCAGTCCGGGGAAAGTTCGACGCAGGACAAGATTGACTTCAAGCTGAATGTCCCGGTGTCTGCCTATCTCATGCCACTGCCAATGGACGGGTAAGAAAATCCAAAAGAATATTATGAGCTCAGAACTTTTTCAGTTTGAAAGGCTAGGTTGGTTGTCGTCTCCGTTCCTGTAATCCGGCTCTTTTTCCCCCACCTGCACTTTTTTAAGTGATCTTTCTGTTTACATTGTCCGATCGTTACGAAAACTGGCTTGCTGACAAATATTATTGGTCTTTATACTTAACCTTGATGCTAATGTGAGGTTGGGGAAAAGAGCCCTTCTCCGGACTTGAGATGATTAATGGCTTTCGTGATATAAATGAACGCTCTATTGGCAAAATCGTTTTTCTGTAAATCTGTTGATTCCTCTCTTGATATGATTTTACTGTTTCTAAATGTCTTATATGCCGCTGTCTTAAATGAATTGCTATAAATGAATCTTTGTTCTGTGTCAGCATCAGCTTCAAGAGTCTGCTATCTTCTGGGGGGTTGCCCTTCAAATGCAGTGTGAGTGTGCAGTCGGCCGAAGTGTTCACCAAGGCATTAGCAGTACTCGCTCATCACATCCACTTCACAGGTGAATGCTAGGGAAAAACAAGCAAAACAAAATTATGGCATGGAACACAGTTTCGCAATTAAGTGTAAATCATTTCAATAAAAATGATCAAATATAAGAAAAACAATCAGTTCACTGAAATAAAAATAACTGAGTTAGAATTAATTCATATTCAAGTTTTTTTCACCATAATTTGAGATCACAGGTATGCTCAAAAATGGAATCTGTTTTTTAAATCATAAGAGAAATACTGAATTAGAAGAAGAAGGATAAGACGAATTTATAGGAAAAAACTATTCATTAACTTTGCCAATATGTTTTAGTTGTGGAGCAAATTGTTGAAAGCGCCTCTCTCTACTGCAAGTCTGCGTTTGGAGATCACATTTGTGTGTTGTTCAAGGCTAATGTAAGTGCGATTTCTTAATCATTTTATACGAGAGATATTTCAATGTATGTAAAAAATGATTTTTCTTAGTTTTTATAGTTTCTAGTTTTTCCAATGCTTCATCTTTACTTTTTTTGCGGCCTGACTTTTCATTTCTTTCTGAATTAAATTCGAATTCATTTACTTAAAGGAATGTATATTATGCTCTCGATAGCAAACTTTGAAATGTCGTCAAAAGACGTTAATGAAGAAGCTCAGATTTCAAAATTGTTCAGATTTTTTGGAATTAAAGAAATTACCCATTGAATGTGTTTTTAAGAGTAATGAACGTAGTGAGTACTCTTAGATAGATATTGTTTTGTTTTGGTTTTTTCAGGAAAGTCTTGAAATTTGTTCACGCTCAGTTTTGAATTTTTGAAATAAAAAGAAGTATCTACTATTAAAAACAGTTGAAATTCAAGGAGATTTAAAGTAGCTTGTTCTTCTTTTTCATTCAGTTTTTCGACCTCCTTCCCTTCATTGACACTGTCCCGACTGTCTGTTGACTATTTTTTGTATTCTAGCCACAAGGGGGCTTCTCGTGTGACATGAAATGCAACCACGAGCAGCTGATGAAGCAGGTGCAGACGGAGATCGAACACCTGTTCCAGCCAGCATTGTAGACTCATCGCCCAGAGGCACACACTGAGCCGACATTCCACTTAACCTTAAATTATACCACTACAAAATACAAACTCATAATTACACACTGTTAAAATGTAAAATCATCGGATCAGACAATAATGTAGCTTCTGATAATAATAGTATATAGTGACCTATTTATCTTAAATCCTAGAAATGCGCGAGAACCCATGCGTTATTTATGGAGGCAATTTCAAAACCAGAAATAAGCTGCTTGATGCATGATAAATTCATATTTTTATTGTTCCGACCACTAAATGGAGAGAAGGGGGAAGTTCGCTTTAATCATGGATAAGCCCGTGTTTTTTTTCTCCCGATTTTGACTACCCCAAAGAAAGCTAGAAGAAGGATCAAGCCTGGGATCATATTAAAGCTTAATCAGTCGTTATTTGGATTCCAAATAAACAATTAAAAGTTCGAAAAAGTTGTGTCGCTGTCAAGAGTTTTTTTCGTTTTCTGACTAATTATGATAAAATTTTCAATTTTTTGTTCAGTGTGGTCGGCACATTCTGTGCTAATTTCACAGCATCCGGCTCTCCTTGTTAAAAAGTATTGGATGTTTTTCCTGTTTTGGGTCGTGTAGTTTGTATGATACTAGTCTTGTGCTCATTCCGTAAATATGTGCAGTATTTAGCTGTTTCTTCGAATAGTTTGGAAGAGCGTCTTATGTTAAAGAAATATAATGTAAATCTTTGCGCGTTGTTCAAAAATGTGAATTCTTGCGATCCAATTTATAAATTTGCGCAATATGTTATGGCTCAGTAGCGGATATAGGCATTGTGTAAAGGCTATTTAAAAAAAAGTAATAAAAAATTGTAACCAACGTGTCATTTTTGCCTTAATCCGCCTCTGTTACCAATTAATTATTCTCTGAATTATGCAATGCATTCTAGTTCTAATGTATATTTTGAAAGTCTTTCTTAAACTACATAATTTATCAAATTGTTACAACTGCAGATTTTGTTGGAACGCAATTCAGAAAAACCTAGCTCTGATGCCCAAATTCTGCCTCAAAAATTCGTTGTAATAGAAAAAATGTACCTTTTCAATAAAAGTTAAGAACAGAAATTGTATAGAACAATTTTTTGACTTTATAAACAATACGAGCTTGCGAGCGTAGTATTGAACGGTCAGCCCACTTTCACTTTCTCCCAGCAAGTCACACGTTTAGGAAAAATTTCTGAAAATGTTATCGAAATAATAGGTTTTGAGAGACTTTGAAAACACTTTGGGAATGTCAACGTTTGAGCACAAATGTAACAACCTGCTAGCATTTTAAGTAAAGGTTTGGAGGTTTGAAAGCTGACAATTTATTGGAATAAGTACCGCACAATATGGACATGTAATCTACCTAGATTTCAGCTTACCACCCAGATCTACACACTAAATAATAACATTTACTCCATAATTATTTCGTAAGTAACTTTGTTCACTTGGCTTATTTACTGGCCTTTTTTTGGAAAAACGTTTTTTTTTTTGGAAAAACAAACATTTTTGAGTATGCTGGCATCTTGCATTTTCGTCATACTTAAAGTTTGCTTTTTTGATGGCTAATTTTTAAACTCAATTTGTTAAAGTTCAAATTTTTTTGTGCGATAATATATCAACTTATTGGCCTCTTTTTTCGTTAGTTGATGCGCAAAAAAAATGTGTGTGTGTGTGTTTTGAGGAAACGGACATTTTCTGATTCAAATTTCATGTTCTATTGCTATGGCTCGTTTTTCAAAACTAGCTCTTCGTTTTTGATAAACCTTAGTTTCTTTTTAAATATTTTTTGATTTTGGCTGTTTTGTATTCTATTGCAAGTGGTGCGAGGCTTCGCTTCATTTCTGTGTAATAGTGGACTTTTTCCACTAAATTTGAAAATTTTTACCACACTGAAATGTCATTGGGAGAACTTTAAGATTTCGCTGCGCGTTTTCATTCGTCTCTCTTGCATTGACTTTCGTTCTTTTCTAAATATCCATTGGTTGTCAATAAATCATAATTACAATTATTTGGTACCGAAGAAGTTCTCAGATCAGCTCTTACGGTAGTAAAAATCTCTGTAGTTTTTTCTTACTCTGATTTTCGTTGCGTTCTTTTGGTTACCTTAGGTATTTTCGTTTTTCTGAGCTTGATATTTTCTTCACATTATGTCTATTATGAAAAGTGTCAACGACAAAGGGTGTTTTTTTAGCATTTTTTTAGAAAACCTATATAGTGCAAACAATCCTTTTTAAGCCGTGATTTTCAACTTTAAAGACTCAATAGACCTCATGAAACGCACACCAAAAATATAAAAAGGAACAACAAAGAATTTTTTTCACAAGAAGTCAAATGCTACAAGGATTGTAAAATCAAGCAAACTATCTAAGACAAAGAATATACTAATTCTTACTGATCAGCTTCTCTTGCAAATTTTCATAAGTTTTCCACAAACTCAAATCTCATTGCGAGAACAGTGGAATTTTGCTGCGCGATTTCATTCGTCTCTATTCTTACCTTGACTTTTGTTCTTTTTTAATAAACATTGATAATCAAAGATAAATAAAGCTCTTTGGTACTAAAAAAAGTGTTTAGGTTTTCAGAAAAGCCCTGAATCCATAGTACAAATTCTTGGTAGTATTTTCTTACTCGGATATTAATTGCGTTCTTTTGGATACCCTTAGTATTTACAGGTAGCTACAGAATTGCATCATACATATTAAGACATAGACGAATGCTATGAAGGTAACTCGTTTTTTTTAAACTTATTTTGAGTTAATTTTAAGTTCAAGTAAATTCCGCTGACCAGTAACGAAAGCGGAATCGGCGCGCAAAATTGTGACCGATTTCTAGTGTCGAAAGCGAAACATAAATTTAAGAATTGCTAGCGGAATAAAATATTACTACAAAAGCGATGTATCTTTTATTTTGTCAGCTGGTGTGCTATTAAAAATTCAGTACTGTGTTGAGATCTGTTAAGTAAAAAATATATAAATGTTTTTTGGAGAAGCAGAAAATAAAAACTGAAAGTGGATTTTTTGGTGTATAAATACGTTCAGAAAATTTCACTTTATCTGCTCTTCAAAAAAACGATTACTTGTTTTTTTTACAGATGCCAATAGAAAGTTTTCCAATCACATTCTCAATTTATTCATATTGAAATCAGTTTTTTTGTGGTTTCATTAAACTCTTTTCAAACAGAAAACTCTACACGATTACTTGTTTTTTTTACAGATGCCAATAGAAAGTTTTCCAATCACATTCTCAATTTATTCATATTGAAATCAGTTTTTTTGTGGTTTCATTAAACTCTTTTCAAACAGAAAACTCTACAAGTAACATGACATCGTTTTTCCTAATTTAGATATTTACTAGTTGTTGAGAAACATTATCGGGTTAATTGAACAATGAACACTTTCAAGTGTCCCTCCAAAAAATATCTTCTAAATCATGTCTCAATTCCTTGGCTTAATCTAAAGTAGAAATTTTTACAGCTGGTGAAATATTTTGAAAATCGTACCCGGCCAAAATCAAGGTTTGCCCGAATTAATTTAGAGTTTTCACGGCTGCTTATATACCAAAGTTCTTCGTGTAAAAAGCATTACGTACCATCTGAACACACCAAACACCAAAGTTACTCCGTTTGGAATAATAAATAATTTTCATTGAACTATTGTTATCTTTCTATTAGCTCGTGTTAAGAAGAAAACAATTCTTTGTCAACAAAAATTCATGCAGCAATTTAGGTAATGATCAATTTCAGACAGTGGTTTTTTTATAGGAAATAAAGACTTTCAAGGTCTAAACAATTTTCACTTTAAAGTGAACACAAATGATCTCATTTCACACGTTTCTGTGTCTCAAATTTTCTGGATAAGAAACTTTCTGGCTTTTTGTGCCGACTTTCCACGAAAAAAGTTTATTTATGCATGGGATGTTTTTTTGTTCCAACTTTTGAAGAAAACGAACTGTTTATGCCTGGAGTGGCTGTTTTTATTAAGTCACTTTCGCCTATCAAAATAATAGTTTTTAAGAAAAATTATTGTACCCCATTGAAGACATTGAATCAGTGAAATCACATTTGAAAAAATATTTACCTTTGATCATTTTTAGCGAAGTTTGTAAGTTTAAAAAATGCTTATTTAGCCATGATCTCGAGTATTTTATGCGCGTTTTGAAGACTTAACCAGACTATCCTGAAGAAATAACCCAGACTATGTACCCGTGGCAACTTATTCCGCAAAGCAAAATTGTTCCAATTTGAATTGAGGCTTGCTCTCAATTGTTTGCAATAATTTGGTACGACTCAATTTTTCCCACTTGATCCTTGATAGTGTTCAAAATTTATACTTTTTCAATATTTTTTTGTTTAAAAAAGTTCGATTTGGATTAAGGGGCAGTCGGAACATTCACAGATTTGCTTTGATATATGAGCAGTCTTGTTGAGTTTTTAAGATGCTTTGTCCCGTTCTCTCTTCCTATTCTTCTCTCTCTCTCTCTCTCTCTCTCTCTCTCTATCTCCTGAATCTTTCTTTCTCTTCTCTCTCTCTCTCTCTCTCTCTCTCTCACACACTGTCTCTCTCTCTATCTCTATCTCTCTCTCTCTGTCTCTTGTTTCATGCGCTTTCTGCTTGATTTGGGGTGATCAATTATTCGCCTTTCATCTCCTTTCTTTTGCTCTGGAAAAAACATAGAAATCGTTCTTGTCAGAAATCTCATCAAACTTTTAAATGGACTTTTCCTCAGCCGGTAAAACCCACAAAAACATCAGATAAAAATTTCAAAAAAAAAAATTAAGCAAGGATTCTCGAAGAGAAAAGCCTATTGGCGACTAGAAAAACTACTGTATAAAGATGGAAAGCACAATTAGAAGATTTGATTTACGCTATATTTGGCGTCAATAAGCAACGAAAAAATCTTTTTTGAGCCTATTTTTTTTTTAGAACAGGAGAGCATATTTGCCCAGGTTTTTCTGTAACATACGCATACTAGAAAATCCCAAGTAAAATTTGGATATCAATAGCACTCAAACACAGACGTCAAAAAAGATAGAGACTGCCTAGAATACAGGTCTCTAACAGATATGGCTACATCATTATTAAAGAGGAAGAATGGATATGAGATAAATTTAATTAAATTTGAACAAGAACAACAACAATCAGGTTTATTTGAGAGATCCGATACTCTATTTTTCTTATACTGCTATACATTTGTGCGTAATAGACAAGCAAATTTTGATTAATATCAAATTGACCAACGCTACAAAAAAATCTCGGAAATCTATTGGAACTTCCATGCAACAAGAAACCTCACTATACTGGGGGAAAATTAAGCATTTGTGCCGATTGTTGCGTAACCAGGGGCGTATCTAGGGTCTTAGGTTTTCTCGAGAGGAGGGGTGGATTTTCCAAAATAATTTGGAAATTTAGTCGAACTTTTTTTAAATCGACCAAATTGATTTTTCGAGCACTCCCAGGTCACTACAAAGACCTTATTTTGACGAAAAGCTTTCAAAAATAAAAAAAAACAGGTAAACAGCGGTTTTTGGGCATTTTTCGGAAAACTTTGACCTAAAAATTGCGTTTTTTTTTGGCGCTCGCGCCTCTTCAAACTTAGTATACATTGGTATTTAGAAAAGTTTTAGGGTTGGTTGACCTAAAATGGATGTCCTGAAATTTGGCTTATGAAGGAGTTGAATGCCCGAGGAAAACAAGCTTCCATTCCACCCACCCCCCCCCCCCCCCAAATCCACCCCTTAAAGGAACATATAGTGCTTTGTCTTTCAAAGATGAAATTGTTACAGAATATTATTTTAAATGCCATTTCTTTATCAAATTTTTTAATCGGAAAATTAAAACAACAAAAAAAATTTCGATGTTCTCAAGGTTCTGAAATTTGTCACAGAAAGTATCCACTAGGTTCCTAAAACGTAGCTATTCATGTTAAGAAGATGTTATACATGCATGTTCACTAATCATTCACAGCGATAATGAGGTTTCTTTTCGCTATATGTTTTTCAAAACAGAGGAAAAATAATTAGTGAACATTTTCATAATCGGCCTGCACAAAAAAAATTGTACAAAAGGAAACTGATAATCATA